TATTTTGTTTAAAACAAAAGATTTGCCTATTAAATTGTATTTTCCCTGAAATATTTATGATTTCTTTGTGAAATGGTTTGAATAATTTGTTAGATATTTTGGTGAAGATACGAATATGAAATTGTTTATGGTCAATTTAACATTTTAAAATTAGTGTAATACACAATTTTTGTATGTTATATATCATGATCGGTTCTATAAACAGTTTACCAAGGATTTTTATAACGGTTAACCATTGAACCGTAAATCACAAACTTTTCCGGTTCTTTGTTTGATTTGTTCTTGGATGGGCTCCAATATGAGTGGGCCCGTAGTATGGATGAGAAACCCTGTTAACATTTTCTTACAATTTTGAGCCCAATAAAAGCCTCCTGTAGAAGCGAGAAGAAATTCTGATGGGTACAGGGAAGAAAGACAATGTGCTGACGTGGAAGCCTGGATGGAAGTAAAAACTAAAATGTCAATCCCTGCTTAACCGGAAACCCTACTCTGGCCGCCGGCCATTCTGTTCCTTCTCTTCCCCAATTCTGTTGCTATCCCCAATTCCCTTCTAAATCCGTAAAGTATCTACAAATTCCCAATAACCCAATACCAGGTTTCTATCATTCACCCAGAAACAAGCTTGTCAATTTCCGTCATACGCAAGTATTTCGAAAACTTCACCGCACGTGTCAAATTGCTCAACTGCTTGACCGCAATCGATTGGAGCTCCACCGGTCCCACGCACTGGAGGGAAGCAGATTCCGACTTCCTCCAGCACGTCCACCGCATTGGCCCTCCGATGGCACCTTGTGACCACAGGAATCTGTATCTCAGCACCATGCTTAAAGGTCATGGCGTTGCGAACAGCAGTGAGAAAGTCCTGCTTATTGTAAATTCCTGGACCGATGCCTGCTCTGCTGAGGATTTTATCCATGCCATGGTTCTTCATCAAACTTTCAATCCCTCTTGCATATTCATAATTGCTCCGCGGAGTACACGTCCCGTGTTTGTAATACTCGTCGGTCCAGAACTTCGCTTGTTCTGATTCATCATGGGAAATCCCCTTCCAAACATTCTCCCAAAGCTTCCACGTGGTATTAGGCTGCATTCAGATGAAGCATAAAAAGAGAATGAGTATGTACACTCCAAGCATTCTCCCATGGCTCTTAGATTACAGAAGGTTCAGTCAAGAGAAACAGAATACTTACAATATTATAGAATTGGTGTTTACTTTTCCGAACTTCATCATATTGCCCACCATCGCAGAACACCTCACTCGTCCCGTCTACACCGACTGGCCAAACACCATGGGCCACCCATTTCGGACCTTTCATATTTTCCTTACAAGGGGAACCAGCTCTATCACAGAACCCTTCCGGCCAGGTCTGCACAAATAACTCGTAGACGATCTCCGGTTGTCGTCTTGGCTGTCCTTGAAGTGCTGCTGCAGCTACCATGGTAAAGACCAACACAAAGACAGCATGTATCATGTTGCGCATAGAGGAAGAAGCCATAGAGAAAGAGCCAAAAGCTCCAGCAGCTGTATCGAAAAAGCTCCTCCAACAAATTGGATTGTCGTCGTCGAGGTCTGCCTCCGCCAAATTGCAAGGTCCATCCTCCTCAAAAGCTCCTCCCGAGCTTCTCCGAACAACTTCCAAAGGAAATAATTGGTCTCTCCGTGTCATTGTCAACCGCGTGGTGATGGACTTCCGAGCAAACTCAACCCTCCTTACCTGAAAAAAGGAAAACCACACCATTATTGCAATCTGCCAGTGTGTTTGGCCATGAATGGAAGTCTGTAGAGGGACAGACTGAGTTGGAGCCTGGTGTCCTCTCTTGAGCCTGCTATTTAGCAGGCCTCTCCTCAGCCATCTCTTCCTTCCGAGGGGAGTTTCAGAAGGCTATTACTCAGGTGAGGGGTCAGAGGAATGGTGCAGGGGAGGAAGGTAACAGGTTCTCTGCTCTGTCAGATCTGGATCAGTTTGAGGTTGGTCGAATTCTGGTTTCCCCTCAAAAGCAGGTTGAAGAGTTCCCGGAATTGCAGGTGAATAAGGGTAAGGAAGTGGTGCAAGGTACGAAGAGGCCTGGCAGGCCGCAGAAGGCAAAGTCTAAATGATTGTATTAGCTTGGAATATCAGGGGGTTCAATTCCCCTGACAAGCAGGAGTTTATAAGGAAAATGCTTCACAAAAACAAAGTGGATATAGGTGCTGTCATTGAAAAACACCAGTGGCTGAAGTTAATGCAAAGAAAATTCAAACAAAAAAGTTTCCTGATTGGATGGTTGAGGATAACTACTCTGCTGCGAATCTGGGTAGGATCTGGGTCTTTTGGAAGTCATCTATGCAGTTTTCTGTCTTGGACTAAGGTGAGCAATTTATTCATGGGTTTCTTATGGAGGGTCGTACACAGGTGTTCCTTACTTTTGTATATGGATCCAATGATCTTGGTAAGAGGCAGGAAATGTACTTGGAGATGCAAAAGCATCAGGTCAGTGATAAACCATGGATTGTATTAGGGGATTTCAATGCCATAAGGGACCCTACAGAGTCTTCTAATAGGGTTGATATGGGAGCTAGTTGTCAGAATTTTAGTGCATGGATTGACAATATGCAGCTGGAGGATCACACCACTAATTGCAGGGAACCTGAACTCTAAAGAATGTCAAGCTTCGGTTGATAAAATTACTCGGTGGATCCGAGGATGGAAGCCCCTGCTCCTCTCCTATGCAGGTAGGATACAATTGGTTATATCAGGATTTTTCTGCTCCCAGGAAGGGTAACCAAAGCTGTGGAGAAGCTCTGCTCGGATTTTATCCGGTCTGTTGGAGAGGATAGGAAAAAGGCCAAGGTAGTTTGGAGTCGGGTGGCATTACCAAAAGAAGAGGGAGGGCTAGGTTTCAAAGATATGAAGTATTGGAACTTGGCTTGTATTATCAGGCACATCTGGGCTAGCTTGAGTGATAAGAAATCATTATGGAGTGCAGGGCTCAAAGAATACAGAATGCGGAATCTATCATTCTGGCAGGTCAGCACTCCTGAAGGTGTGACTTGACAGGGAGAGATTATGAGCAAGTTCTCAGTTAGCAAAGTGTGGAATACTCTTAAGGCCACGACGAGAGAAAGTTTCGTGGCATGTTCTCATTTGGAAGTAGGTTCCCTAGAAACTCTATGCTAGTCTAGTTGACTGCTCTGAACCGTATCAATACTTTGGATAGAATTCAGAAATGGAAACCAGATTTGGATGCTACCTGTACCCTATGTGAGAAAAGCTAGAAACCAGAGCAAGATTAGCAGAAATGAAACATACAATTCTGTCCTGGATCGTGTTACCAATCAGTTTGATATCCTCTAGGGCAGCAGAAAGAAAAAAGGAAGAGCAGAGCAAGAACGAAACCTACATTTCTGTTCTGGTTAGTGTGACCAAGCAGTTTGACCTCCTGAAGCGTCTTCTTGGCCAAAGAACCCGCCGATGTAAAGAGTACAAATCCGCCACACAACAAACTTATTCCATCAAAATTCTTCGGAAACGAAAGAATAGCGCCTAATCAGAAATAAACGCGAAAATTAGACTATTACCGGAAGATTTCGTATGCGCCCTCGCCGATAGGCATGGTCGGAGGCTTGAACTTGGCGGTGACATTGAAAATGTTGCCTATGATGTTATGCGAGAGAACTTGGCCGCCATGGCTGCGCGTCGCCGGGAGGTTACCGATTCCTACCGGTGGCGGGACCTGCACATCCGACATCTCCTGATTGATGTGACCAAGCAGTTTGACCTCCTGGAGCGTCTTCTTCGCAGAAGCACTGGCGGAGCTGAAGAGTAAAACAGCGCCGAATTCCATCAAAATTCTCGTAAACGAAAGAATAGCGCCGAATCAGAAAGAAATGCGAAGATTAGACTATTACTGGAAGACTCCGTATGCGCCCTTGCCGATAGGCATGGTCGGAGACGGGAGCTGCGCATCCGACGTCTCCGTGTCGCTCGCCGCAGCGCTGGCTCCGCCGTCCATCGGAATTAGTACTTCGCCGCTGCTTTCTTTAGTTCCCCGGCGAGACTGGAAGTGTGAGTGTGGAATAGAAAATGATTTCTTCTGGATCCTTCTCTTCTCTGTCAAGATTTAGGGCGGTTAGGGCTTAAGCGCCTCTTTCATTTTGGCGCCTCTTTCATTTTGGCCAAAATATCAGTTTGGCCACTTAACTTTTACTATCGTTAGATGAGCCTCTAAACTTCATTGTGAATCAATGACGTGCATAACGATACCAATAAGCATATTCAGTAACCGAAGTTGTGCAAAACGGCCCATTAGATTATGATGCTTTTTTGAGGACTAGATGGTGTTGTAGTTTAATCAAAGTTAGATACCGTCGGTTGGACAAGTGGAATGATACGATCGATGATACGGTTGGTTTGTGTCGGTTATGACGACTTTAATAGGATACATGAGAAAAGTGGGAATCTCAATAAAAAATAAATTAGTTAGGAGGAAGTAACTAAAGAGTAAATTCACATAAAAAATTTATAGTTATGAATGGTTAACTAATAATAATAAATCAAATACGTAAAAATATATAAAATGAATGTTCCTTGTAATCTACTAGATGTATGCCCACCCCCTTGGTCGGGATGTGTTTCGTTAATCAATATATTATTATATTTGACACCTATACTTAAAATAACCAACTCTCAATCATTTCATATTAAATATGACTAAGTTTTCTATGATAAAAAAACAAATTAGTGGCTAAGTCTATTATAATGTATAATAATAAACTTTTTTATGGTTAGATTAATAATAATTAAGTTATTTAAATTTTATTATCTTATATAATATACATTGTGAAATTTTGAGTGCACATAAAAATAGTGTCCTTTCAACAATGAATTTGACATTTTGAAAATTAATGAAAATTTTCATAAATAGTATGAATTTTTATGCATTTGAAACGGATTAGTTATATTTTGGATATTTGATATTAATATTATAAAACTCAACGGAAAACGATTTTGCTAATTAGAATCCCGTGGAACAAAAAGTCAATAAAATAAATAAAACATATTAATGGAAAGAGGACATGTATCTCATTTTTAATGGGAAAAAGAAAAAAGAAAAAATATAGGGTTCAAAACAACTAGTAAACATGATCTACTTGGTTTGAATCTCATTATGGATGTTTATTTTTGGTACTCAAATATAGTTTTTGGACTAACCGACAAATTATTATCGAATTTGACTGTCGTCGATTGAACTTGACCAATTTTAAACACCAATCGGTTTGATGATACTAGTCGTACCGGTTTGTCGTATCAAGATAACTAAAGTAAAAACTCTGTGTTACAATATCATTATGATCAAGTGTCTACAGAGTGGGAACAACAATAATAGTAATCTCATTGATTCAAACTCTCTCGTTTAGCGAGAGCTGAGAGGCGGCGGAAACCCTAGGGTTTTTCCGAGTTTTTATAGGTTACGGGGTGAGCCTCGGGGATTTCTTCCTCGTGGATCAAGGAAATTCGAGGCTTAGAAGGATTGGGATTACTTTTGACGGTGATAGAGACCTATTTAACACTTTGCAATCACAAAGAATACAAACAGAAGCAGTAACGTGCTAAAGAAATCTTGAGTTTTCTCCTGGAAAACCCTAGCTCAAGGCATCAAAGAGCGTTTTGGCACGGGGTGTTCTCAGGAAGGATAGATCTTGATACTGGAGAGATCGAGTACAACCTTATAGAGCTTTACAGAATGGAAGCAAGAGAGGAGGCTACGAAGGACACAGCGACGAGCAAAGAGAGGACAGAACCATTGGAGCTGGAGGCGCAGCTCAATAACATCACACTAGAGGAGGATGATGAAGAACCCTTAGAGGTCGAGGACTCGGATGTCGATGTTCTCCGAATGGAAGCGGTACGCCGACTGGGGCTGATTGGGCACCTGGTCTCTGAAAAGGAACCAAACATCAAGTCAATGAAGATTTCCCTAGCAAAAGCATGGAAACTACGTAAGGGGTTTCAGATTACAGAGCTAGGAGATATGCTTTTTGCGTTTCAATTTCTAGAGATGGATGACAGAAACAAGGTCTGCTTTGGAGGGCCTTGGCACTATGAAAACTCTCTCATAGTGTTCAAGATCAGCTCAACAATCCAAAAACCTAAACCTGAGGATCTACATATGATAGATCTATGGATCAGGATACTAGGGTTCCCTGCCGAGCTGAGAACACAACAAATGGCAGAGAAAATTGCTAAGAGATTTGGAGGTCTTGACTGGTTTGATAATGGTTCTAGTACTATGTGGGATGACTACATGCGACTTAGGGTGAACATCTCAATCAACAATCCACTGAAAAAGAAATTGAAGCTTAACATTGCAGGCAAGCTAGTGGAATTCCAAGTGAAATATGAGAAACTGCCTATGTTCTGCTACTCCTGTGGTAGGATTGGGTACCCGAAACTTAAGTGCAAGACTCAACCTAAGCCTGAGGTTGACCCCTATGGCTATGATCTAAGGGTGGCAGCTCCAGGGCCTAGGAATTGGCTTTCCTACACTGCTAAGAAGGAAGATGCAGAGGTTTGGGCAGCATTGAAACAAAAATTCGAAATGGAAAGTATTGGCTCCAACTCTGATCACGACATGGCATTGGAACAGGAAGAAAATAGAGTACAGGAGGAAGTTCAACCACTGGCACAACAAAGGGAGGAAAGTAAGCACCCAAACAATCAGATCCCACCAAAAGAACAATTGACACAGAGGCAGGACAAGCAAAACATACTTGCTAATACAGTGCAAAATCAAGAGAAAAAAGAGAGGCAGCAGGCGGGGGCACTGCAGAAGTTTGTGATGGGAAGCGTAGAGGGGAAGGTACCTGGTAGGAACAATGGCAGGGTATGGCGGAGACAAGAAGTTGGACCAAGGCACCCTGGGGCTGGAGTACACCTTACTCCACAAAAACGCCATGTCGCTGCACTGCAAGCAGAGATACCTGAAGAACAAGCAAAGGAGGAAGGAAGTAAGAAGGCTAGAAAACTACAATTCTCAGGACAGGAGCAAGTGATAACCCAACAAAACAACATAAATGTGGATGGCGGAGTGGCGGAGTCTGCACAAGAGCAGACCCGCCCAGCCCAATGAGTTATCTAAGCTACAATTGCCGGGGTTTGGGGAGTCCCCTGGCAATTAAGAAGCTGGATCGGCTGATCCATAAAGAAAACCCCAAGGTGGTCTTTGTTATGGAGACCAAAAAGCAGGGAAAGGAATGGGAGGAAGTGGTCCAAAGATTTAAAGGATATAAGGGTTTTGGTGTGGGCTCTCAGAGGAGGGCAGGTGGCTTGTTAGTTCTATGGCAGGAGGAAGCAAAATTAGAAGTGAAGGGATATGATGAGAATTATATAGACATGAAGATTGAGGAGGAAGGAAACACATGGCGACTTACAGGAGTTTATGGATGGCCAGAGAGGGGAAAAAAGCATAAGACGTGGGAACTCCTCAGATACTTGAAATCCCTCACAAATCTCCCTTGGATGTGTTGTGGGGATTTCAATCTAATTCAACATTATGCAAAAAAAAAGGAAAAGCAGCCTGCAAACTGATATGAGATGGAGGGTTTCAATAAAGCTTTAGCAGACTGTCAATTAGAAGACTTAGGTTTCTATGGGAAACCTTACACTTGGGATAACAACCATAAAGATGATTCTTTCTTACAGGAACGACTTGATAGAATGGTGGCTACTGAAGAATGGAGGAAATTATTCCCTGAGGCTGGGGTATATCACCTGAGGAGGTGTGGCTCGGATCACAATCCTATATTGCTAAAAACCAATGTCCTAGTGGAGGATGTGAAATGGGGCAACTATTTCAAATTTGAAGCATTCTGGCAAGAGCATGAGGAATGTAAACAAATCATCCAAGGGGGATGGGAGTCAAGTGGTATGAACTCAATTATGGGAAAGATCAAAGTCTGTGAGGAGAAACTCAGAAGCTGGAGTAAACAGACTTTTGGTAATCTGAAATCGAGAAGACTCAAAGTAGAAAAAGCTCCGGAGAAGATTGATCGAATGGTAAAGATAGAGGCCATCTTGGCCCAACGAAGAGTACTTGAAAATGAACTGGAGGACATACTCATTCAGGAAGAATTAATCTGGAAACAAAGATCCAGAAATGAATGGCTGAAACATGGGGACAAAAATACTAAATTCTTCCATCGTCGAGCCTCGGAGAGAAGAGTAAAGAATATGATAAGAAGGTTGAAAGATGAGGATGGAAGAATCTGTGTGGGACAGGAAGAGGTGACTCGTTGTGTTGTCAGCTTTTTCAAAAAGCTGTGCACTGCTGGACCAAGAACAACCACCAATTCAGTTTTAGAAGTAGTGACATCGAAGGCACCACGGAAATGAATGAAGAGCTCCTAAAACCATTAATGAGAGAAGAAATATGGGTTGCCCTGAAGAATATGGGACCTTTAAAAGCCCCTGGGGCAGATGGCATGCCAGCTCTCTTATTTCAGAGAAACTGGGATATAATGGGAGATACAATTACTACTGAGCTTCAAGGTTTCTTTGAAGCTGGTTGCTTCCTGCAGGAGTTAAACCACACCCTGATAGCCCTCATTCCCAAGAAGAAAAACCCTCAATCCCCGGTGGATTTTCGTCCCATCAGTTTGTGTAAAGTACTCTACAAAATCTTCTCAAAGATACTATCAAACAGACTGAAAGGGATCTTAAACGAGGTAATTGTCCAAAACCAGAGCGCTTTTGTACCAGGAAGGCTGATTACAGATAATGTTATGATTGCATTTGAGTGTTTCCACTCAATGAATGCAAGAAAATCAGGCAGGAAAGGCTTTATGGCAGCAAAGCTAGACATTACTAAAGCCTATGATAGGGTGGAGTGGGATTTTCTTGAAGCTATAATGTTAAAAATGGGGTTTGACAATAGATGGGTGCAAATGGTTATGTGGTGTGTTAAAACAGTGTCTTTCTCCACACTGGTGAATGGACACCAAACTGAAAATTTCTACCCCAGCAGGGGACTCAGGCAAGGGGATCCCATTTCCCCCTATTTGTTCCTATTTGTGGTGGAAGGTCTCTCAGCTTTGCTTTCTAAAGCAGAACAGGAAAGGAAAATTGAAGGAATTCGAGTGAAGAGGACTGCCCCTCAGATTACTCACTTACTGTTTGCTGATGACAGCATAATGTTCACTAGGGCTACCAGAGATCAATGTGAACAACTAAAATCCATTTTACAGAGCTATGAAGAAGAGTCTGGACAACAGGTCAATCTAAACAAGTCTGAGCTATCGTTTAGTCTTAATGTCAGACAAGGACCGAGGAGGGAGTTAGCTGGGAAACTGAATATGAGAATGGTGGATTACCACCAAAAATATTTGGGACTGCCCACCAACATAGGAAGGTAAAAAAAAACAGGCTTTCGGCTATCTGGTGGACAAAGTTAGAGCTAAAGTGAAAACCTGGAAAGAGAAACTCCTCTCAGTGGCAGGAAAGGAGGTGTTGATCAAATCGGTAGCTCAATCTCAACTGACATATGCAATGTCAGTGTTTAAGATTCCAACCAATATTCTAAAGGAAACAAAACGAGCCATTGCTCAATTCTGGTGGGGTCAGCAGCAAGAAGAAGGCAGAACTCATTGGCTAAGCTGGAAGGAGCTGTGCAAATCAAAGAAGCAAGGGGGAATGGGATTCAAAGACCTACAAAGTTTTAATCTTGCCCTTCTGGGCAAACAATTGTGGAGACTTTCTCAATTCCCTAATTCCCTAGTGGCACGAGGAATGAAGGCAAAATATTTTGAGGGTGGTGACCCTCTGGAGGCTGAAGTAGGGAGGAACCCTAGTTGGATATGGCGAGGCTTAATGGCCTCAAAGAATCTAGTAAAGAAAGGAGCAAGGTGGAGAGTGGGGGATGGAACCAAAATCGACATATGGCTGGATAAATGGTTACCCTCAAGTGATAATTTTAAGGTGACTTCCCCAACAGTCAACTGGGGAACGTCAACTTCTGTAGTAGAACTGATTGATCCTGATACCAGGAGCTGGCGGACAGATCTAATTCAAGCACATTTCAACCCTACGGACTGCTCCAACATTCTAAAGACCCCTATTCCAAGACAACCAATTGAGGACAGAAGGATTTGGGGAAAAGAAAGAACAGGGGAGTACACTGTAAAATCTGCATACAAATTATGGGAAGGAAGAAATGTGAATGAGGAGGGAGAGCCCTATATACTAGTTAATTGGAAAAAGGTTTGGAGCCTACAGATCCCCCCTAAGGTGAAGGTATTTGCGTGGAGATGGCTGCGGAATATTTTACCCACAAGGTTTCGAATTCTAAAACGCACCTAGCAAGGAAGTGATGATTGCCCTTTCTGTGGCTTAGAAGAGACCCAAGAACATGTTCTTCGGGACTGTGCATGGGCTCGCAGGGTTTGGAGGTACAGCACAATGAACTTATTGGTGAGTCGGGGGGAAAATCTTACCTCGGAAGAATGGTTTTGCGAATTGCAGGAAACGGAGACTGAAGATCAACTGGGATCCTTTCTGGTGGCGCTCTGGTACATCTGGGATCAGCGAAACTGTCATTTATGGAACAAAAAGAAATTAGAAGAGTGGGAGATCCTACCCAGAGCGAGTGAATGGTTACAAGACTACCTGGAGAAGCAGATGAGATCCCAGGCGGAGCCGAAGGAGGAGGATCAGCGATGGAAACCTCCGACGGCAGGGGCGGTGAAGATTAATGTGGATGCGGCTTGTTTCGATGGACAGGGAACGGGATGGGGAGTGGTGGCTAGGGATCAGAATGGGCATTTTCTGTTTGGAGCAGTCAAGAGATCTCGGATTCAGTGGAACCCAGAAGAGGCAGAGGTGCTGGCGGTGGATTTTGGTCTAGAAATGGCGAGGAGGAGAGGAATGGGGGAAGTGGAAATGGAATCTGACTGCCAGGGTATCGTTCAGCAACTACGCCGAGAAGAGAGAAGGGAAACCGAGGTTGGGCTGATGTGCGAGGACGTCCGGATCAAAGCTCAGGCTTTGGGCTTGGTTCGGTGGTATTGGGTAGGCCGAAATAAAAACAGACTGGCCCATAAAATAGCCCACCTAGATTGCAATTGGGATAGTGAGGAGGTTTGGGATGATAATCCACCTCAAGTACTTGTACCTCTCCTTAGAGAGGATGCTACTGGAAACTTTGCTACTATTGATTAATAAATGAATACAGTTTTCCTTCAAAAAAAAACTTTGATTTTTTCAACCTCTTTTTATTTTTATGTCAAAACTCCGTAACTTGAAGATTTTAGTGTAATACCGAGTTTGATGCTTTAATTGTCTCGATATCAAGTTTAATTTCGAGACCTGAGTATGGTGATTGAAATTAGTATTTAACCTTACACATCTACAAAGTACATATACCAAAAGTGAAAGAAGGAAATGATGGCATATATCCATTTCCAACATCATGGTCCTGCCAGACCTTTATTGCCAACGTCAGCACTACCCTCTATTCAACTGAACACGAGCGTGATAATATGTAAAGTACAACAACAAAACCATAAAAGGTATTTTCTATCTTGCCTGCGTTTTACTTTAACCATAGATGACTTATGTATGTACACACACACGGCTACGAGCTTCCCGCCAGAAAGCAATTACTGCTACCGGAACTCCCAGCTGCAAAGGGCACATCTCGAACGACGAGCTTCACGCTCTCTTTCCCTACGTAATCGAGTATCTCGCAGAACTCGTGCAGGTCCGAATCGCTCGTCAGCAGCACCCACTCTTCCTCGTCGTCCATATACTTGAGCTGGAACGTCCCGCTCTGCAGCTTGAACCTCTTGCCGACCTCCTCGTACAGATGGAAACACCCTGCAGAAGGATCGAACTTGAACCTGATCGTGTCGTCTTTGTAACTAGCCTTCATAGTAAAGATCTTCCCATCAGCATTTCTCGTCCCTTCCTCGAAGGTCTGAGAGCTTGAGCTGCATCCCCCGCCTCCACCATGCATTGACTCAGACCATGTGACGAGCTGTTGTCGCTCCAGGAAGGATGTTGGGAGCTTGACTTGTCGAGTTGTGTGATTTCGTGGGGACCGCATCGTCGAGGCTTTGAATCTTCCTCGCTGCAGTCGATCGAGGGTGTCATGGTGGTGGTTATTAAGTCGTCCTCGACTTTGACTGCGGCAATAGAAGCAGGTTCGGCGAGTGGTTCTGGATGATGAATGTGAAATGGAGTTTCCGTGTCGAGTTCATCGAGTGTGGGCCCCCCCGCTGTGAATCCACCAATAGAAGGGTCGAATTTGAATCCACCTTCTACTCCTTGGACTGAATCAAGCGCAGTTTGGATTTTCTTTAATGAGCGGTTCACTTTGTTGATCTTGCGGGATGGCCATCTTGATATTCCATGGTGTCTGCATATCCTTTTCAGTGTTGTAGGGCAAACTGCAGAAGCAAGAGAGCTACAAGTCAACCAACATCTAGCTTTCAAAATCAACCAAAATCCAAATTAAACCATCCAGTAGGATGATTAACTTAATCTTTCATCGTCTTACTAAATTTCCGAGGGTCAATAGCAGGATATTGTTATTCTAATTTCTATTAAAGATAGTAGTCGCAAAAATATTAGTATTATTTAACTGGTCTCATGGAGAACATCAACACAGGATGGAGATTAGAATCTCACCGCCAATGCTTTTCGCAGCATCCTTGAGACTTCCAGAGAAGTATTGCTGAAGAACACTTAGACTCACATTCTTCTCTACATTGCTCTTTTTCTTCTCCAGCTGTTTTCTGGGCCCAGTGGTAGCCTAAAAAAACAGTCAGGAACCTGTCAGACGTGGTTGCAGACTACAAGTCACCCTAGTCAAATGAACAAGCCCTCAAATAAACCATGCAGAGCACAAATATATGACAGTCTGTCATGTATTGTAAGTGAATTCATTGACAAAATTCAGTACATTTATAATCTGTAAGTGAATGGAGTGCCATTATTAGTTATAGATGTAAAGTACTTCAGACCAATTGCCCTGCTCAGACTTAAAACTAACAAAGGATGAAGCATATACTTGTCAAAGAAGAAATGAAATGTACATGATTCAGGAAAAAATGATCGCTCTAGGTTCTAAAGTACTGTAACCAATTCACGAAGAAAGACTAGGAATAAATGGACTTACCCGATAATTCTGACTGCCTGATTCTGTTCTATCGATTCTGGAGCTGGATGCATTACAATCCACTATACCTGCAGTGTCCAAAAATGCACTTGATAATGCGGTTTGAGAGTTTTTCTCTGATATAGAGATCTGAGGGAAGACTGCCGATGTTTCCTTGTGATATCCAACTCTATCACCTTCACCAGCAGCTAATTCTGCATCAGAAACTGTTCTTAAGCCCTTGCAAACTTTTTGCATTGTGTTTGAGAGGCTGTTCAACAAGAGTTGTTGCTCCTGACTCCCTGTTGTGTTGACCGGAAGAAACAGTTCCAATATGTAGTCGTGGTCACCAGTATATGTGCTTCTCAGCCTGATTGCAACTGCAGCATTTAGTCCATACTTACGACTGTGATGGACATGCGGATACTCGGTTATGTCATATGCCTTCACATCTGGGATGAAGAAAGGATGATTTGATTGAAGTGCTTTACCAGCTATGCCTTGGCCTTCCTCAATATAATGCTCCACACAAGCATGCACAAACCCTTGCATCGACCTGTCGTTCACATAACAAGCTGTATCCTCTATGCACAAAACACATTTCCCAGTAGGCCGTGATTTACTACCTTCTCTTACACGAACTCTTATGATTTCATCAACAGCGTCCTCAGTATAATGGCAAGGAATCCAAGTTAGACCAAGAGGCAATGTATGTGCGTGGCAAACTGCTCGTAGGACATCCATTATTTCAGCAAGAGCGGCTCTTCTGTTATCTGACAGGCACTGTAAAATAACAATGACCTTATAGTCATATGTCAAGGGAGATACTTGGGTATTGGAAATGAGCATCTCTTATACTAAATTCACTTGCCTTCGGTGTTTGTAACTTTTTCTATTTACTTATTTTGCAAAATAGGTGGACGTAATTACCTGGGGTAGAAGCCGAGGAGGTAGAGTACTTCTTAAGTCTACAGCCTGAAAAATAAGCATCAAAACTCAGTTTCAGTACCAGAAAGAACATAAAATTTTCACTCACTGAACAAATGGCAGAGAAACAACTATTGTGGTTATCAGGTGTTGCTTAACTCCCAAATGACCAGGACAACTTAAGCTAAAACCATTTGAAACAAAACATCATGAAGCTTGTAGATTTTTTTTTACATAGAACCAGCAAGTACGTTCTTGCATGCTTTTGATTACTGTTGCATAGTGCAATGACAATATCTAGTAGCAGCCATGAGCTCGCATAACCAATCTTTGATAACAAAATCTGATACTACAGAAGCTGGTTCTGCTAACTCATCTACCCGGGGCCTACCATTACAACTTTACAAAGCACAGCTACTGTATAAGTTTCAAGCATCAACCAGAAGGTCATACATGACACTGCTCTATACGTCATCAATTTTCAGTAGAAAGGAGCTGATTCTAAGAAGACGATTAGGGAAAGAAAATTTCAAGGAAGTTACTAACTTCAAAGTATTAACATATGAAACAGATGAAAACCAAACTAACCTGAAGTGCATGGCAAATGTTCTCCATCTCAGAATCAAAATCAGACTTCTCCTTAACAGTGACAAGTTTCAGAACAGCACAACAGGACGTGCCAGAAGGATTTAGAATAGGCAACGCAATAGAACCCCGGACTTCATGGTCAACCGCGTGCTTCACCCTCACATACTCTTCCTTATTGTAATAAACTACGTTTGAGGCCCATTCTGGAACTTTAGAGACGAATACACGTCCCGGAAGCCCTAATGGAAGCCCAGGCTTCAACTCCGCAGAGAAGGTAAACGTTCTAGAGACCTCACGAAAACCTGCTAAGGTTTTATCAAGCAAGTAAGGCTGCTCGGAAGTTGACAACACATATTGACCCCCCTGCCTTATCGGAACCCATACTTGTGCCAAAATGCCATCCCCAGAGAACTCCCTGAGAAAGGACAAAGCCTTTAGCATCTTCTCGTCAAGCGAGAAGCCAAGAGGCGAGAAACCATACAGCTAGCCTCCACCATGAAATTCTCTTGTTAATTCCCTGGATTCGATCCCGATGGATATACCAATTCCGCATCAGTCTGCTGACAGGTTACATTGTCTGCACAATTGTGGGAGATACCATGGCCATTCGATGCTGCATGGACACTAGGGCTGAGATAACCAGGTTGTTCTGCAGTAAGATTCAGTGAATCGAAAGATCCTAATGGAAAGGGCTGCAACGGCGACAACCAATTTGAAACAAGCCAGTGGTCCATCGCTGGAGAGCCATTACACCATCCAGGATAGGCATCCAAGTTCATCAGCTCCGCAAATTTGATATTTGGGTCTTCCAGAGCTGAACTTATCTCATCAAGCTGTGCTCTTGGCCGAGCCTTTACTGTCGAAGAAAAGGGATACTCCATGTTCATATAATACACACGCTACCAAACTAAACTACCGACTTAGAGAAATCATTACTCACTTACACTAGCTACTTCCTCCCCGTTCCTCCCCTGAATCCACCGAAATTCGTCACTGCTAGCCTTACTCACGTCTTCTAAAACTCAATCAATCCCAATCAATCCCCAACGATTAACTGAAGCGCCGAAACTTTCCTTCGCTATTCAAGGGCCGAAACTCAGCTGAGAAATGAAAATCATATTCATTTCGAACAGAGCAAAAGGACGATACCTATACCGAGCTCGCCGTCGCTCAGTTGGATCTCCGGTTTACCCTCGTTTGTTCACTTCGTCTTTCAATTGCCGGCTGCGACTCTCTCGCGCTCGCGCGCCTTTGATTCTATCATCCTCGAAGGAAAAAAATTCTTCTGGTGCGTTGCTCTCGAGATTTTCTGTTTCCTGCTTTGCAAGCCATATAAAATATCTGTACATAAAGCGTCATCTTTGTTTACTCACCTCCTCGCTTCCTCTACCTGCTGGCTGCTGCCAGCTGGGGAAGGAGAACCAACCGAAAAACCAGTTTCAGGGGGAGAAACGGGAAACCCGACACGTTTCGGAACTCCAATTCGAAACGCGAGAAATTGACTAATATTATCGCGATATACTGACTGTGATTCGAAAATGGCCCCGGAGAATTTCCCGGCGGCATCTCTGTTTCTCTGCCGGCCGACGACGGAGTAAGATTAGTTTCTCTTCCCGGCGGCTTTTACAAACAATGATTATACACAAGAGAGAGACCTAGGATGATACATGTAGTGTTAACCTTCACTCAATTGTACATGTTACATTTCAATAAAAAGAAAAAATTGTACATGTTACATCGAAAACATTTGATGTCGGTTCTAAATTAGATACTTATATACAGAAATTACAAAACTGATTATCCATAATATTGATTATTGATAGAAATATTTATACATACATGGGAGATTGCATATGATTAATAATTAGTTAGTCATCAAGTGGCTTGGAGAGTTGATGAACATGCTATGCCACATATATGCAGGGGCGGACCCACCTTATGGGGAGGTGTGTCAAGCGACACACCTCCGTCCGAAATTGGTGTGAGAAATCTATATTTTGACGGTATAAAAAATTCAAACACGAGACTTCCAACGCACCTTCGAAAATTGTAACAGACACATCTTTATTATGTTACAAAAAATTTGTTGTCTTTTAAGTTATTAAAATATATAAATATAGGAGTAATTAGATTTCAAATTAGGCATTTAATTAGTTAGTTATATGAGAGTAAACAAGTAAATGGCTACTTAATACATAATAAGTATTTAGATGGATAACTATCACCCCAGAGATAACATCAATCATTCGAATGAGAATTAAATGGATTAATAAAACGGTTGAGTCATGTAATTAGATAGTGAATTCCATGTCATCTTTCCTCATATCGTCTTTTCATCAAATTTTCTAATAGTTAATTTTCAACTTGTTTTCTAGATTATCTATTGCGCTACATTTAATTTATACGAAACACTTTTTTCTTTTCAGTTGCTTAATTTTATTCATAAAATATATATTTGTATGATCTATGCGGCGCGATAATATACTTCTCTTTATTACTCGATCGGTGATTTGCATAGATAAAAATGTTTGATTTGTAACACAACCACAAATATAATTAAGAAACCTTAAATTCGTAGTGGTTCAATAAAAAAACATGAAATTGTTAAGTTTATTAATCAAATTTTTGTGTTGATTTTTTAATTAATCAACACATACTATAATATGCTGAAGCAAAAAACAGAACCCCCATTTCAAAATCCCTGCTTCCAGAGCGTTTCTCGGAGGGGTATTTTTGGAAGTAGCGGCAAAAAATTTCTCCGTTGTCTGCCCGGCCTGCACCTTGCCTGGGCTGCGCGCAAAATGTAAAAACAAACACCTGGGCCTTCATTCCGGCCCATTTAATTTATCCCTCCCCGCTCACTTTCACTGATCGTCGATCCTACCGCGAGCAACGCCAGACTAGGTATTCTCTGGTGGTTCAGTTACGGGCGGAGCAGCCAAAGGGTTCAAGAAACCTCTTCTTCTCCTCCACCAAATTCCGATACAATAGCCCGTCGCCTAACTCCCATCATCTCTACCATGAGTCTGTCGAAGGAATTTCAGCCACGTCGCGGTACGCCGTCGAAGCTAATTGCTTTAATTCCCGCATTTGTATCTGCTTCGAGCTCCTGCCGCGAAGGGAGGGAAGATGAACAAGTGAAGCCCCAGTTATCACACCAATATCTGCAATCGAATTGAAGTCATCATCCCAATTCAACAAAGAACAGAGATCGGGTAATTCCTTTAATTCAATCAAATCTGGGTGGAAAGTGGAGAGAAAAAAAAGCTGATGTCTTTTGTGTTGAGTCCAGACGTACCATAGCCAAAGAGGCACGATGCTTGATCTTTTGCTCCCTATTCATGAAAATTGATACAGTTTGCTCGCTTCATCATCCGAGGTAATTGAAAGGCTGAATGCAGTTTCTTTTTTTGCTCTTTCGATTGCATTTTCTGGTTTTGGTAGCTGCTCTTTCGAATGCACCCTCCGAATTGAGAATACCTATCTATTGCTCAACCAATTTGGGTGTTTAGAGTTTGAAAGTTGAAACCCCAGTTCAGATAGATGCTCTGCATGCTTCATCGTTGTTGTCATCAGAGTGTGCATATTTTTCAAGAACAACATCTTTTTATTGGTTCTTACCCTGGATGTTGTCCTTTATTTGCTGCTTTGTTACTTCTTTTTTTCTTTTTGTTTGGGTAAATTTGCTGATTTATTATGGTTCCCCTTAAGTCAGGGTGATATATTATGGTTCTTCGTTAATACAATTAGCTAATTTTTTTGAATTCATTGCTTTAACTTATGGGGTCGTTTGGATGGAGCATTCTCAAAATGAGACAATGTTAAACAAAAGACTCATTTTGGAATATGAGTCAATTGATTGGAGAAATCTGTCAAGAATGTATCGTTTGGAATAAGTTGTGAGATAAGTGAGTCATTTTACGTAAATACCAACTTACCCCTATCTTCTACAAGTTTCCTACCCCTGTTTTGCTGGAAATTTCTCATCCCCATTTATGGGTATTCTTTCTCGATAAATCTCAGGAAATCAACTCGAGTGGCCTGTCGTCTATTTCTTCTGCAAATTTCTCACCCTTGCTCCGGCGAGCTTCTATTTTACAGGGATAGATTCTTTGTACAAATGGGTTTCACATAATCCAGAAACAAAATCAACAACTTTAAGGAATCATAAGCCAAAAACCAACAAATCGAGGCATAAAAGGGAGGAGGAAGAAGCACGGTAAGAAGTAAGAACAAGACGTTTTTGTCTTGTCGCAGAGAGAACGGAAAAAATCTACTAGCCGGTGCGTTGAACTCCTTTGTTGACTTGATCGGCAGCAGTCGCGAAGGATCTGTGTGTTGTGACGCACGCGTGTTGCGCATAGGCCTTCAATGGCGGTTCGACTGCAATGGCGAGATGCTTTTCCTTCTCTTCAAAATCCACATGCAATAGCCCAAAAAGTCCCAGATCGAGAAACAAACCCAGTTTCCCTCTCCATATGCTTGTAATCACTTTGAGAACCTCTTTATTCTAGTAGACAAAAAATATTCATTTACACCTATGTTCTGCAATTTTTCTCTGCTTCCCTAAAGAGAAAGGGGAGAGATAATAAGAAGGGGAGAGGAGAGGTGAGGTGAGGTGAGGTTAGTGGTGAGTGATGAGAGAGATGGGAAAACGAGAAAGAGAAAGAAAGAGAAAGAGAAATAAAAAAAAGGGTCAGATTGGGTAAAGAGATAGAAAAATGAGGCAATTGACAATTCCTCCCCTCCACCCAAGTAATTAGAATTGACCCAAAATGAGCTAATGTTAATTTCATCATGTCCAATTGCCTCATTCAGATTTTTTGTTGCCAAATGGGGCAATTTAGCTCAATTGTCCCATTATGAGTCAATTGGGTCACATTGCCCCATGAGAAAACCTCATCCAAACGACCCCATGTCTTTTCTCTATCCTAGGTTAATATCACCTCTTACAAACTAATTAATAGGAAAGGAGAAAGGATAGAAAGAGGAGTGGGGAGACAAATAAAGTGACAAAAGCCTTATGAGGTTCGATACCAACCAAATATAACCTGAAACATGGTGCAGAAATTGGAACCTACAACAAGTATAATGTGCTGCGGACTTTGTTGTTTTTCTATTATGATGTTTAAATGCAGAGTGATTAATTTTCTTCGACTAACTCTAAAATCTTTATATATTATAGGAATTTGGCCACTAATCAATTCACCGAGCCCTGACCTTGGGTGAGTAGTTTGGATACTGATTGAAGATCGCGTAAGTTTCTCTTCCCTGACACCAAATGTGATACTTTTTCTCATTCATTAACATATATTTTGGTTTAGCGTTTGGTGGTTGGTGATTGTGAGATAATTGAAGCTCACGTTATTCTAAACATCAAATCAAATTTGACAAGAGTTAATGTTACAGTTGATCTTACTTCTATAGCTATTGTAGAGAATCCTTAAAAAAAATTACTTGAATTTGATTCATGACCATGTTGTTTCTCTGCTGCCTTAGCGGAAAATTTTGGATGTTATGAACCAACTATTTTAGGAAAACTGTGTTTCAAGAGAGCTAGGAGCAAGACCTGTACGCCCTTGCTTTGACTATAATACTGATCTCATAATCATCATGCACTACGCAGGGTTGAAAACCAGTATGCAAAAGCAATTAAATTCAGAGTGTTGTGATTGCTTGCTCTTTTGATATATGCTTTCTCTTTTCATATACGAGGTAGGTGCATTTAGTTGATGAATGAAACCGCTTTGTAAAAGAAATTGCAATTAGTTGCTCATATTTGCTTGCTCAAAATTAGTTTATGTACCCTTTTGGGTGTATCGATTCTGATCACAATTCTGTTTGCTGGAGGATTCGTAGAATGAATGAGAAGTCTCCTCTCGCTCCAGTGAAGTCCTATCTCAGTGAAGGAAAGGTCATGTATCAGTGATTTCCTTTGACTTCTCCACTTTTGTATGTTATTGAAAGCAATTAATTTTTACCCAGAATACAAACTGGCCACTTTGTATTTAAGAGGTATCCTGGTAGGGTAGAAGTGGTATCTTGCTAAGCCTTTTTAGCATGTATGTCGTGGTTCTTGGCTCCACAGTAGAATAGGATTGGGAATGTTGGAATTGGTATTCTTATTATTGGGATTCTCAGTTAAGGATTGCTATTGGGGTTTATGTTTGCTGATGTTGCTTTGATTTTTTTATGTCAGGGGTTAACAACAAAAAGCTTTCAACCTTTTCTATCCAAACCTGCGATTGAGTTTTGCATTAGTGATTATATGCTTTGGTTATGGTAGAAGTATAGTTTATAATGGTCGCTAGCAGTTTTATGTATAGAAACTGTATTTGTCTCTGGCTCTAAGCTGATTTTTGTAGTATTTTCTACATGTGGTATGTTTGTTTTTTTCTATTAACCCATTTCTTGCTAAATGGATTATGCTCATATGCTGTATTGAATCTTTGATCTTAGCTTTGTTGCCTGCTCTCATGCTTATGTGGTTCATCAAATGCTTCAATGAGCAAATATGATACCGTTTTTATGTGTATTATGGACATTAAGAAGAAGAGAGGGGAAAGCTTCATTATGACAAGCTACTCTAGCCAACATGATACTCTTTTTATTACTAGGACTCATCATGTTAATTAGTGTAGATAGGCATTAGGCGAGTTAGACGGGTTTAATGTGGAAGTCCAATGATGTAAAATATTATGGAAAATTCTCGCCTTTGAGAAAGTTTGGCAAGACTTCTTTTGGAATTTCTTAGGACATTACTGAGTTGTACGAATTTTAGGTGAAAATTCAGCCAACTACAACTAATTAGGTGAATTTAAACATGACCCGCACCCACCCGAATAAACAACATTGGAAAGTTGGGTTCTTTTAGTATGGTTTGCGGGTGGGTTTGGTGTGTACGATGATTTTCATACATTTGAAGATTCATCTTGGGATTAGAAACAAACACTAATAGTTATTTTTCAAAGAAATCATCTTGGAGGCTGATAACACTCAAATTGGTTTCATTTAGCTTTCATATTTAGTTTTTTTTTCGTGCTAATTCATGCACATAATCAGAAGAATAGTGTCGATTGCATCTATGTTTCGTTCTTATTTGATTATGACGTGATTTTAGGGTGTTTTAGTCAATACATGCGGATTAGATACGAAAAGGGCATAAAGGTAGCAAAATGGTAGGAAGCTGATGATCATGACCTCAAGAAGGAAGATCACGGCCAAGAAAGCAAACCGCGAAACAAAGGCAAAGATCGCGGCATAAGAAATATTTTTGATAATGGCTCGCGCCCTAAGAAATTTAGAACATCTACATTAAGAACAAATAAGTTGATATCATTTACATTAAGAACTTATAACTATTTTGTTGAGAATTTATTTGACAAATTAACCTATAATGGATCAATGTTTCATGACATGCATTAAGATAAAAAATACTTCTCGATTAATAAACTACAACAATATAAAAGACGGAAAAACAAATCAATCTACACATAATATAATACGCCGAAGGGAAAAACGGGAGACCCATTTCAAATTTCCTGCAACGAGAGTGAAAGTAGGAAGGACATTTTGGTCTTCAACTATTATCTTCTTATAAGTTATATTTTTAACAATGGTTACGTTTAATTTGTCTTCCTAAGTGACCGAAATTTAAGAAAGGAAGCCTCAAAGGATTAAAACAGAAATACTTAGTTAATTCCAAAACCGGCATTCCTAAACAGCCTCATAGGAGAAATATATATAAATACGGTAACAAGTTGAGCAGAATGAGACGGGGCGGAGCAAAGTGAGTTGGAAGTTGATATTCAGGTAATACCCACAGGATGGGTTCAAATTGCCATCACTAATTATCCTTGCTAAGTAATAAAGTTGCAATGAAGAATTATTGACTAACCTACCCCGGCCAACGGGCCGGGTTATAAGCTAGTTACTTTTTATTTGTCGACACACCTATCCAATAATCATGGGTCCGCCACATATATGCCTGGGAAAGTACCACCTCTAGCTCTTGGTGCGTCCAATTGTGGGTTGGAATGTGTTGTAGAAACATTACCATCTCTTGAAAATCTAGTTTTTTAAGAGTTTCAGACCACTGGAAAACAAAATATTTAAGTGTCAAACAAGTAAAACATCATTTTGCGTATGAGAAATGAACTATAATGATTAGATTAACTGAAAGTTGTAATTTGGTTGATTTGGCAAGTGTTAAAATATGTGTGTATCTAGGAGAAAAAATCAGAGGTAAATAGAGAGTTTCAAAATCTTAAATTTTACATATGTTTTAACACTAGATATAGGATGTTTGTAGACTATAAGTACGATTACTTGTACGCCTTGTTTTGCATTTATAAAATGGATGGATTGGATTGGCAGTTAATGATTCATCTAATAATATAATGTTTCGAGTACTCACTATGTAATATATTGATTTACTTGAGAATGCCAGATGAATAATATTATATGCTAAAAAAACTATAATAATGTCTATATTCACAACATAAATCCAAGAGTAAAATTGCAAATAGAATGACACTTATCAACTCACAGTTAAAAGAAAGCTAGCAAATATGTAAACAAGGAAATCAGGCAGTGTATCTCCTTCTGCAAGATAAGTATCCCACAATCGCGTGACCAGATGAAATGGGATCTGTATAATGAATAAAATATAAGTTAGCTCTTTTTGTGTGAAATATGTTAGCTCTTTTAATGACATAAAATGGAGAAGCATACAACAAGGTTATATATATTCCCATAAAATAATTGAAATGACTTGGTTAATTAATAGAAAACTAAGAAATAATGCAAGTTAAACATTATTTTCAAAAAAATTAATAGTGAGAATTTTAAGAATTTGAACCTCGCGTATCAAGAGACAATTGAACCAGCTGAAAGCAAATTGAATAAACTCGAGTCCTTGTTCTTCCATGTGTTTTGAGACGGACTCTGAAGGGACAAAATAAACAATTATGCCTCAATATGGTTACTATGATCATCAAATAAGTTTTTGAAAGTTGCATCGTGAGAGCAAGTTTCGTAAACTCTTATAATGCAACCAAATTGTAATTGATTTTCGTATAAAGTTCATGTAATGTTCTGCTTATTGTTACCCAATAAAAAATATAAGATTGTTTTTTAGACGAGAACCGGAAGATCATGAAAATGACAATCATGAATCTGGTGCATAGCAAGCATGCACTCATAATAAAAGGCATATCGTAGACGCACTAACATTAATTAATATAAACAAATCTTGAATTACCATCAATTCGTCTAACCAATTCCTTGAGTTTATAAACAAGCCTTTGGATTCCTGGCTGAGCAAACGTGTAATGGTCTTGCATTCCATCGAGCAACTTGGACAAGCACCAATAACAATCTGCTTCTATATCCAAAATTTTGTTTGGAGGAAGATCAAAGATAGACCAGCTATCTATGTCGCCTTCCAAGTGCTCAGACAAGAAAACGACCAAAAATGGCGTCACAAGATCATTTATCCCTTGCACATAACCACTTGCCGGGTGTTTTATTGCCCTAATAATGATGCAAAAAAAAAAAAAAAAAAGTTGAGGAAAACACATAACGAAGAAGACTAGTGAAACTCTGACTATAGGCACTGAATCATAGTAGCTAACCATATGTAGAGAAGACGCTCCAAGGATTTTTGAACTTCCGGTTGTTGGAAGAATGTGACATCTGGTACGGTTCTTGGGCAATCGACAGATATCTACACAAGTACAAAGCGCTCTTCACCATTGTCGTCTCCGGAACGGAGAGGGTGCTGCAGCAAGTCGTCGAGCAGCTTCAGAAGCTCGTCAATGTCTTGAAGGTTGTTTTTCGAAAACCTCTATTTCGTTTCCATTTTAGGTGGGAGTTGGTTTGAACTGATTTGGGAAGGCTTTGTTGGGTTATTCGTTTCATATGTAATGTGGTTGCCATTTGAATAGGTTGAAGATCTCTCCAGTGAGGCTCAGGTAGAGCGCGAATTGATGCTTATAAAAGTGAATGCTGAAACTGAGCACCGTGCTGAGGTTAGTTGGTTTATGCTTTTGCTGTTTGTTCAGTGGCTCGAAATGTATGTTTTCCATTTCCAGTGAGAAAGTTGTTTTCTTTCTTGATGTCTTGTTTACTTACTGATTCTAGTATAGGTTTGAATTTCAGATCAAGTGGTTGATCGACATCTTTAGGGCGAAAATTGTTGATATCTCAGAGCATTCAGTCACAATTGAGGTTATGATTCTTGAACTTGAGTATCACTGAGAATTCTGCGGCCAGAATGATTCATAGATCATGTAGGATTCATTGGTCTATTTTGCTTGCAGTTTTCGGTTTATTGCATTTTTTGAATTATTGAGTTTAGTTGATGACTGATAGTGGCCTATGGTCCTTAGAAGAGTGCAGCGGAAGTACATCTCACGTGATTCAAATTGTAATTGAATCGTTAAATTCTTCCCTGAAAAGTGGCTAGTGGCATCGATGTGTTTAAAAAGTTTTAATCTTTGTATGCATTTAACTATTGCACTCTTTGAAAAATAGGGTTTGCGTCATGGGAGTATGTTGCTTATTAATTCTGTTTTGGATTATTAGGTCACTGGAGACCCTGGGAAAATGGTTGCTGTGCAGAGAAACCTAAGCAAGTTTGGTATCAAAGAAATTGCTAGAACTGGCAAGGTTACTTTTTAGCTCTGTTCTCATCATTGTGGCCCTTGTCCCCGTTACATCTGTGCTAATGTATGAACTTCTTCCTTGCATTAGATTGCATTGAGAAGAGAAAAAATGGGTGCCACTGCTCCCTTTTGGCGATTCTCTGCCTCTTCATATCCTGATCTTGGAGAGAATGGGGCTGAAAATGGACTATCAGCGGTTAAAAGTAGAGCAGTCATCACTGAAGCTGATACGAGTGCAGGGGTATGCAGTTTCTAGATCCATGATCTTATGCTCTCTCTGATTTGAGGGCAATTAGATTAGTAAGAAGTTGATGCCATAATTTACCATGAGTGTTGACTGTTACTTTCCATATTGCTGGCTGAGAAGTGGTTCAATTTAAATTTTCAACGATGATTATCCTCAACTCACCAAATGACTTCTTGACTGACACATTCTGTGAATGTTTCTGTTACCCTTTTGTCTCCCCATTTATGTATTGGTTGCTTCTAGAAATGAAGTTTGTTATTTGTCATTTTGCCTTCAAGTGGTTTTCTTGCTTCTGATTTGCTGGAATTTCAAATTCATTTATCCAGGGAGATGTTTATCCTGTGGAGCAGTCTGATGGGTTTCCTTTTCATCAAGTTCTTGATGCACACTGGGGTGTTCTAAATGAGGAAGATGTAAGAAAGCTCGCTTCTGTTTATAGTTCAGTTCATCAAACAGATTAATGATAAGTGTTGATTATTTTATTCAGAAAAGTGGTCTTCGATCACATACTTTGTCCATGCTTGTAAATGATGTCCCTGGAGTTCTCAACCTTGTTACTGGGGTTTTTTCTCGACGGGGTTATAAGATTCAGGTATGTTCATTCTTACTGTGTTTTGTTATTCTTTGCGACATTAATATGTTTGCACTTTTATTTACTATATTTTCTTCTGGGTTGCCAGAGTTTAGCCGTTGGGCATTCTGAGAAGGAGGGCCTCTCGCGTATTACAACTGTCGTTGTCGTACCTGCTACAGATGAATCAGTTAGTAAATTGGTGAAGCAACTGTATAAGCTAGTTGACCTTCATGAGGTAATTGACAGAATTGCACTGTGAAAAAACTTATTTGTTTCTTACAAATTGCATTACCTAGGTAGAGATGAGTATTAGCAACCTGTTCTAGGTACTCTACATAACGTATCTGTCTAGGATGTGTTTGACTTGTTAATCATCATGCTCTTCAGTGTTGCTGATCATTCTTCGGGTTTAATATTCAATTTGGAAGTATTATCGGCAGAGTACTTTCCATCCCTGTTAACAGTCTGCTGCCCTTTCAGGTTCGTGATCTTACCTCCTCCCCATTCGCTGAACGTGAACTAATGTTGATCAAGATCGCGGTGAATGCTGCTGCTCGCCGCGACGTCCTTGATATTGCCACCATTTTCAGGGCAAAAGCAGTTGATGTCTCTGACCATACCATAACCCTCGAGGTTAGTAACTTGCTGTCCCAGTCATAATACGACTGCAACCTTCACTTCATGGCTTCTTCAAATCGCAAAAATTTGACTTTGATGAATTCACTATTGAACAACACTTCGCTTGGCGCAGCTTACGGGAGATCTGGACAAGATGGTTGCTCTGCAGAGATTGTTGGAACCCTTTGGCATCTGCGAGGTTATTTCTCTCTTTCCTTCATTTTCTGATGCACCAATACCAACCTGCTTTTTGTGACTCGAAATGCCTTCCTCCTCTTACTATAGGTTGCACGAACTGGACGAATAGCTCTGGTTCGCGAATCAGGCGTGGATTCCAAATATCTCCGCGGATACTCTTATCCTATATAGTTAATTCACAGGCACCCGTTCTTCGCAGCAACGACGAAGAAAGCTGTCTAACAGCATGCTTCAGTGAGGTAAGAATGAGGCCCCTGCTGGGAGACAGTTCGGTTACCGAATGTTTTGCCATTGCTCTGCTGTATGCCGTAGTTTGGGACCAGCTACATACTGGGTAGAACTTCCATGTACTATAAAACGAAATTTTGTTCGCTTCCCTGTCTTCGAAAATATTAGTTTCTGTTTTGATACGAGTTCTTGGCGTAGGCTGAAATATGACCTGTTGCTATCTTAGTGGTGAACCGACTGATTCGTAGGATAGATATTGGCCCTGTTCTCGCTCTGCTGCGAGTCGAATGGCTGTCCAATTTGGCTTGGCCAAGATCTGGCTGTGACGGTACTAGACTGCTAGTTCTCATATCGTGGCTTTAGGACCATAGCCGAATTGGTTCACATGGAACATACACAAAACATCTCGTTGATGTTCTCAACGTATACAAAACGTTACGACGAAGTGGAAAGATATGATAGCTGCCAATAAGTGCTCTCAGGTTTAGTTTTCACAACCTATAATTCACAAAAATACAAATTTTAACGGCCGTCAATGAACCTAAAAGTTTGAATCGCGCGTATCCGCTCTTATGAATTCATCTAGCTAGTATATATGTATCGACCGCATCTTTAAATCGAACCATGAGATCTATCAACAGTGTGAAAGAGTAAATAGACCTAAACGGCTAAACCATTAAAAAAAAAAAATGCATCCCCAGCTAACCCTCCCAATTGTCACCACACTTCAGTGAGGTAAGAATGAGGCCCCTGCTGGGAGACAGTTCGGTTACCGAATGTTTTGCCATTGCTCTGCTGTATGCCGTAGTTTGGGACCAGCTACATACTGGGTAGAACTTCCATGTACTATAAAACGAAATTTTGTTCGCTTCCCTGTCTTCGAAAATATTAGTTTCTGTTTTGATACGAGTTCTTGGCGTAGGCTGAAATATGACCTGTTGCTATCTTAGTGGTGAACCGACTGATTCGTAGGATAGATATTGGCCCTGTTCTCGCTCTGCTGCGAGTCGAATGGCTGTCCAATTTGGCTTGGCCAAGATCTGGCTGTGACGGTACTAGACTGCTAGTTCTCATATCGTGGCTTTAGGACCATAGCCGAATTGGTTCACATGGAACATACACAAAACATCTCGTTGATGTTCTCAACGTATACAAAACGTTACGACGAAGTGGAAAGATATGATAGCTGCCAATAAGTGCTCTCAGGTTTAGTTTTCACAACCTATAATTCACAAAAATACAAATTTTAACGGCCGTCAATGAACCTAAAAGTTTGAATCGCGCGTATCCGCTCTTATGAATTCATCTAGCTAGTATATATGTATCGACCGCATCTTTAAATCGAACCATGAGATCTATCAACAGTGTGAAAGAGTAAATAGACCTAAACGGCTAAACCATTAAAAAAAAAAAATGCATCCCCAGCTAACCCTCCCAATTGTCACCACACTTCTGAATCTGAACCCACAGAAGCACAGTATAAAACAGACTAAGTTGAAATCAGATGAATTCATCCGACCTGGCGACCAACACTGTTCAGATAAAAGCTAGTATATATATATAGAGAGTAATAACACAGCCAACAATACTGAGAATAGCTCATAATTCATTCCCGGTGGGCAACAAAAACCTGAATATAAGTCATGTCCCACTGCCCAACCTCATGATTTCACCCCACACTGACCAAGCTTTCTTTGTTAACATAAACCCTGCGAGCTCCATGAACACCATCTGCCACAACTTTAGTGGCCTGAGTAGCAGGGTCGAACAACACCAACTCATGGGTTTCAGATGTGCCATAACCCCTAACAAGAATAAGCTCGTCGTCCCTCCACCACCCAACCACAGATATATAAGGGTAATTACCTGGCATCCAATCCTCACCAGCAGCAACCTCCGGCGTCGGCAGCATCACAGAAGGTGGAATAAAGGGAGCAACAGTCTGGTGCTTGACCCAACGCCATTCTTCACTCAGTAACCACATGTCACAACCACCGCTACTCTCCTGGAAAAGAAACAAAGCAAGCGCATCCTTGTACACAAGAAGCTGTTTCATACCAGCCTCAACATAAATGCGATCATATAGGTTGGGCACCGGATCGTCAACCACACGGAAAACCTCATTCTCGAGGTCGAACGCCAGTGCTGCAAGAGGAGATAAGCATGCCCAGAAAAAGAACCCATTCAAGTAATTGTAAGATCGGACGGAGTCGAATATACGAACTTCAAGCCGCAACTCTTCTAGCTCCCTCCAAGTATCAGTGCCAGGTGTGTACACCACCACTTGTGAAGGGAATTTGGGAGAGGAGCTGGCTACAAGAACGCACCAGGGGGTAACGGCTGTATCATCATTCCAGAAGTGCCTAATCATAACTATCTTGAAATCCTTAGCCACTGGATCTAGCCCGAACCCGTAGTTGTCGAAATAGTGTGTTGCGGCAGTGCTTTTCCTGACCGGTGGCATCGTGATTTCCCTAGATTTGCCGGTTGCTGGGTTCCATATACGCACTTCCGACTTGCCATCGCCCATCAGAAATATGCCGTTGCAGGGTCCGGCGATTATAAGCGTATTAAACTTCAGGTACTGAACTTGTGGTGATACATGACCACCGTGACAAAGAGGAGAGAATAGCCTAACCGGTGTGAAGCCATCATATCTTACATCAAAGTTTGGATGCTCGCACACCATCAGGGTCTGAGAAGCAGAGCCAGCCGGGCCGTTGGTGTAGTTTCTGAGGTGCATGGAAACCAGGAAGGGGCTTGAAATTGTGGCATTCCAGCTTCTGCAGACGGACTTGAGCTGTAACAGATCTCTAGCGGGGAGCCGAACCAGGATCTCCACCAGCAATTCTCCCGGCAACTCATCCACCTTGTTAACCACCGCAGGTTTGAACAAGGTCAGATCTTTCTCCTCCCCCTGTGAAAAAAAGATTAGAGGACAGAAGCCACGCCAAATTTTACAAGCAGAGCCAACAAAGAAAAGGGGGAAAACAGAGAAGCAAATAGGAAAAGGAGGGCAGCAAAACTAAAACAGAAGCCAGAGAATCAGCAGCCACTTAGAACACCAACGCATGCAGTCAGCCGGACGGATAGGTTTTACAAGATCTCTATCTTCTTCCCCAAATTCTCCTCTAAATCTCTAAATCTCCATCAATTCCCACTTTCCCAATCCAATCGATAGAACCTTAGAAATAGGTTTCTATCAACCAGTAGCCACATAGAACCGGTTCTATAAAGATGAAGCTGCAGATATCAATTACTTCAATCAATTCAGGGAGTGCACAAACTATTCTCCACGGATGAGATGCGATACCTCGATTTTGATCTGGCTATTGCGTCTCAAGGACGAAAATTTGAAGATTCCACTGACAACTTGCTGAATCATCGACACCGGAAACGCTGCCAGGACATGAGTCGCCCAATTCCTCTTTTCATCCATCGCCGATCCGTACGCCTCACGCGTGGGTGCTGGTGTTAGGGGTGAACAAACACACCCGCAAACCGACCCACCTGTCCAACCCGACCCAACCCATCCGTATTTATCGCTAAATCGAAGGTTTTGGGTTGGGTGAGGGTTTTCCTTTGTACAACCCGCTCTTTTGGGTTGGGTTTGGATTTTGGATTACACAACCCGTAGAACCCGACCCAACCCGTGTTCCAATTATTGGTATGAGTTCATATCCAAAAAAACATTTGTGTCGTATATAGTCATACTTATGAGAAAATTAAGATATTTCACCATGTTTTTCTCTTAAAGTCTCACTAATCTAATGCATTCTTCGACTTAAAGTTTAGACATATATTTAATATAGCTATGATTCACGTAATTTTTTTTCTTGTGTAGAATTTTTTAAAAATACCATATTATGGATGCGTTCATTTGTAACCTTTTTAGCCTATTTCAACAAATGTCGTGAAAAAACTAGACATAAGTTGAAGTAAATCAAGTTTTATTAAAATTCAAACAATATTTGTGAATTTTTATACCTTTCACCTCGGTTTATTCGTTTGAAATTTTTATTTTTTTATAAAATATTTTTATGATGTAGAATAATTACATATTTTGTGTTGGGTTGGGTCTTTACTTAAAAATATCGACAACCTGACCCAACCCATTTAGAAACAAACCGTAGGGTTTAGAATTTTTTGGGTGGGTTTGGGTTTAATATTTCCCAAACCGTAGTGCATGAGTCGGGTGATTAAAATGCCTAAACCCGGACCACCCGACCCATGTACACCCCTAGCTGGTGTTAACGAGGAAGGGAAAGTATGTAAAATATATCAGCGGAATCGAAATCAAACACGAGGCAACGATTTACGTGGTTTCCCCGTTCAGTGTGAACGGGACTATTCCACGGAGAACGTGATTTCTCAGACCTTCTTATTAGTAGCAGTTCGTCTGCTGCTGTACATACAAAAGCCGAACAAAACAGTCCCTTATATACTCGACCTGAGCATTAGGGCAAAAGGAAAAATGTCAAAAAGGTCCTCCAATAATGTAAACACAACACACTGTTCTACACTCCCCATCAAGCTCGAGTGTGTAGATCGCGAACACCGAGCTTGTCTAGCAGTGTGTGGAATTGCTCAGTTCCCAGAGCTTTTGTGAAAATGTCTGCGAGCTGCGACGTGGTTCCAATTTTCTTCGGATTAATCTCCTTGGACATAACTCGCTCACGGACGAAATCACAGTCCATCTCCACATGCTTCGTTCTCTCATGGAAGACGGGATTTGCTGCTATGTGTAATGATGCTTGGTTGTCACAATAGAGTGACGTAGGGACCTGCTGTTTAACTACCAGCTCTTCGAGAAGGAATCGCAACCAAAGTACCTCGCTCACTGTGCTTGCCATGGCTCTGTACTCTGCCTCGGCTGAGGATCTCGATACAACCTTCTGCTTCTTTGTTCTCCAAGATATTGGCGCTCCTCCCAACTGAATGTAATACCCAGTAGTTGAGCGTCTGGTCGTTTGACATCCTGCCCAGTCTGCATCGCAGTAACCCATTAACTCCAAATCTCCAGACTTGGGAAAAAACAGCCCTTGCCCCGGCGAATTCTTCAGATATCGCAGGACTCTTTCTGCCGCCGCAACATGTTCTGGACCTGGACGATTAACAAACCGTGACAATATGTTAACTGCATAAGGAATGTCAGGTCTCGTTACCGTGAGGTACATGAGGCGTCCCATGAGTCGTCGGTAGGCGCTAGCATTATTAGCTGCTTCATCACTCGGTCGTGTAAGTCCGTGGTTTTGTTCCATGGGAAAATTGCTAGGGCGTGCTTCAGTGACGCATGCATCGTCGAGGATATCCAATGTATACTTCCTCTGACTAAGTACCACTCCATCAGGCACTCTCGCTACCTCTATTCCCAAAGAATATTTCAGGGCTCCCAAGTCCTTGATGCTAAAACGCTCATCAAGAAATCGTTTTACCTTAGCAATGTAGTCTGGACTGTTCCCGATGAGAATTACGTCGTCCACATATATGAGAGCTGCCACAAAGGTCTCTCCGTGCTTGTAGATCAGCAACGAGTGGTCTGCACGCGATGGTTTAAAACCTAGTTCCGAAAGTGATTGAGTGAACTTCTGGTACCAGTTTCGAGAAGCCTGTTTCAGCCCATAAAGAGATTTTCTCAATCTGCAGACCCTACTATCACCTGACCTTGAAAATCCCTACAGAACCTGCATGTACACCTCCTCTTCTAGATCGCCGTGTAAGAAGGCGTTATTTACGTCCAGCTGATGTAAATCCCAACCTCGTTTAACTGCTACTGCCAAGAGGGCACGCACCGTTACCACTTTGGCTACTGGTGCAAAAGTGTCATGGAAATTGACACCTTCGAGTTGTGTAAATCCTTTTGCAACTAGTCGCGCCTTATACCGTTCAACAGAACCATCGGGTCTGTATTTTACCTTGTACACCCACTTGGCGCCTATGGCTTTCATACCCTGTGGGAGAGTCTCCAAAGTCCACGTACCGTTGGCTACTAATGCATCAATTTCTCTTTGCATAGCTTCTCTCCAACAGGCGTGCTTTACGGCTTCTTCGAAGGTCTTAGGCTCTACTATCTTCGAAATGGCAGCAAGATACGCTCGATGATTAGGGGAGAAATGATCATACCCGACATGATTGGCAATTGGGTACTTCGCCGCTGCTTCTTCACGGGACTGCCCAACAAGTTCAGTTTCATATAAGTCGACAAGGGTAGGAGGGGGTCTTCGAATGCGCGTCCCACGCCTCAAACCGGGTTCTTCTGGCTCCAACGAGGCATCATTATTTTTTTCGACAAGCATTTCATGCGCCTCCTCCTCATGCACTCCATGCAACTGGGTTACCACTTCCTCGTGGTCTTCATGGTAATGTCCCACATTATCATCCTCATCATCATGGTCTGCTTGAATTACTTGCATCAGTTCCTCGTCCTCAATGGGAGGCTTAGGAATGCCATCATTAGAAGTGACATTTCTCAATGCTTCCTTGGCTGGTACTTCCTTCTCACGGAATGGAAACACGTTCTCAACGAAGTGAACGTCTCGTGAGGAATATATGCGACGAGTATGAAGGTTATGTACTCAAAAGCCTTTCTGAGTAGCTGGATACCCAACAAACATGCATGGTCTCCCCCCTCTCGACGAACTTGTTGAGACCGTGACGTGTGTCTTTCGCATAAACTAAGCATCCAAAGCTGCGAAGATGTCCATAAGAGGGAAGACGGCCAAGAAGTACCTCATAAGGGGTCTTGTTGCCAAGAATGCGCGATGGCAGTCTATTGATCAAGTAGCTAGCCGTGACAACGCACTCCCCCCAAAAACGAACAGGGAGACCCGAGTGAAATCGGAGGGCGCGAGCAGTCTCGAGTAGGTGACGATGCTTGCGTTCCGCCACACCATTCTGCTGGGGTGTGTTGACGCAACTAGTCTGCAAGAGAATGCCACGAGCCTCATAGTAGTCTTGCAATGTGTGAGTTTGGAATTCCAAACCGTTATCTGCCTGAATTCGCCGAACAGAAGAGTGAAACTGAGTCTCAAACATTTGACAAAATAGACGAAGATAACGATCAACATCTGACTTATACTTAAGCAAATAAACCCAGGTGGCTCGACTGTAGTCATCAACCACTGTCAAAAAATAGCAAGAACCATCCATAGAAGGAGTGCGATAACCCCCCCAAATATCCATGTGAACTAACTCGAAACAAGCACGAGTTTTGATAGAATGAGAGACAAAAGGAGTTCTAGTCTGCTTTGCTCGTAAACAAGAATCACAGTGATGTTCTTGGTTATAACTAGAAAGATGCAATGAACTCCGCAGATAAGATAGCTTCTCAGGAGATGGGTGCCCCAGACGGGCATGCCAAAGAGGGGCCAAATCCTTCCTAGCTGCAGCAAAAACCGAGGGTGATACACTAGCGGGTAGCTCGCGGTGCCCAACGTGCCGGAGATAGTAAAGGCCGTTACTGAGCTGGCCCAGTCCAATCATAGTCCTGGAGCGTAAGTCCTGAATAATGCAGACACCAGCCAAGAAGAGTAAAGCAATGTCATGATCTTTGGTTAACCGACTATCAGATAGTAAGTTGCACTTAAACGTCGGAACATGTAACACGCGCTCAAGCTTAAGAAAACCATTCAGGTTTAAGGATCCAATGCCTTCTACAGGAATACTAGCTCCATTCGGAATTCGAACTGGAGAGAGTGGACCTGAAGTATTAATTTCATGCAGCCAGTATGAATCCCGAACAATGTGTTCGGTGCAACCCGAGTCAATGATTCCGTCACAAAGATCAGAATTGTTACCGGCCATATGTGTTGTGGGCTCGTTAGATGCGCTTGCCGGTGATGAGAAAAACTCCTTTAGATGGGCAAATTGAGCTGGCGAGAGTCCTGGAATAGGGTTGTCCTCGCCTTCAACGCTAGCTGCGCGCGGATTTGACTTCCCTTCTCCTCGCGGTTTGTGAGCATTGTTAACACCCCGGTCACTTTGGCGATCACCACGGTTCCCTTGACGATTCTTAGCTTGATCCGGGTACCCAATAATCTTAAAACAAGTCTCCCTAGTATGTCCAGTCTTGTGGCAATGAGAGCAACGTGGTAATTCATCCTCAACATCTTTCTCTTTGTGCGTTTGAAAGGCTGCCGCTTCCACAATTGGGCGCCGTGATCCCCTAATTTGTCTCTGTTGCTCTTCAACTGCCACTAGTTGATATGCTTCGGCCAGGGAGGCTACAGGCTTCATACTTAGAATTTGGGTGCGCACAACAGAAAACGCATCATCAAGGCCAAGAAGAAAGTCGTATAGGCGCTCGGTCTCTTCCTTCTCCCTCGTTTGTTTGGCAACGTCACAAGTGCAATTTCCACAAGAACAACGAGGAGTAATACTCACTGCTTGCAGCTCGTCCCAAAACGTGCGCAATTTGGTGTAGAATGCCGAGACGCTTTGTTTTTCCTGGCGCAGACCACTAATATGTCCACGCAGCTCATAGGCTCTAGCTGCCGAACTGGTTCCAAAACGTTGCTGCAGGTCTGCCCAGATATCACGAGCTGTCTTCGCACCTCTTACACTATTGCGTACTTCCTTGCTCATCGCCGTTTTCAACCACCCCTTCACGGTGGCATCACACCGAGCCCATGCTTCATCCTGAACCCCCGATCCTGCTTTCGAACGTGGGAGAGACCCATCCACAAAGGCCATTTTGTTTTTCGCGATGAGCGTCTCGGTCATATCGTTGACCCAATCGCTGTAGTTGAGATCCGTCAACAAGTCGCTCCCGAACAACTGACCAGGGTTTTCGGACGGATGCAGGTAGAGTGGAGACGTAAGAGGTATCACATCATCAGCCGAAGAAACGCTTGCCTTGTCGCGTTTCTCGTCGTCACCAGCCATCTTGAAACTTCAAACTAACGATCACAGCTCTGATACCATGTAAAATATATCAGCGGAATCGAAATCAAACACGAGGCAACGATTTACGTGGTTTCCCCGTTCAGTGTGAACGGGACTATTCCAAGGAGAACGTGAGTCTCAGACCTTCTTATTAGTCGCAGTTCGTCTGCTGCGGTACATTCAAAAGCCGAACAAAACAGGCCCTTATATACTCGACGTGAGCATTAGGGCAAAAGGAAAAATGTCAAAAAGGTCCTCCAATAATGTAAACACAACACACTGTTCTACAAAAGGGAGTCTAGGAGGAAGAAAACAAAAACTTGAGGGGAGGGAGAGAGAGATTCCTGGTGTTAGTGAGTAGCTAATGAGGCAAGACAGAATGTTGAATTATCAATGTTTACACTTCGCCATATACATTTATGATTATCAATGTCTACACTTCGCACAATAACTGTTGAATTAATTCAACGAAAAAAAATAACTGTTGAATTATCTTTAAATTTTATTTTTTACTCATCTTGTCCAAAGAATTTTAGAAACTCAGAATGTACAAACTTTATTTTCGTATTGGTTAATTAAAACATTCAATATTATCATCTTGTGCTTCATATATGAATAAATGTTTATTCTCAATATCTAACTTGCATCGTACATTGCAAGTAAAAATGAATAACAAGTTAGTGATAAAGATAATTAGAGATAACTAATTATCAAAAATTATTTCATAATCACTCTCATCTCTCACCTAACTACCAAACAAACAAACATCATGAAACAACAAGTACATATACATGATATTGTATCATACTTTGAAGTACACCGACTAGTTTGATTAAACTTTATGTGTATTTGTATTTACTTTTTTGTCGTAATGTCTAATGTGTATATTTCTTAATTGCCATAGATTTTATATAATTTAATAAATGTTAGCAAAAAGTTGTAAATCTATCTCATGAGTTTCCATGAATTCATTTTCTTAACATTCTAGATACTTTTTAATATACTAGATTGTGACCCATCCATTGGCCGGTGCATTTTATCCATTGCATAAACCATAATAGCTATAAAAAGAAGCAAGATAAGTTTGTAGTTGATACTTGTAACACCCCGAACCTTTTCCGACGAAGATATTGTCCGCTTTGGGACTCGACCCAAACGGTTTTCGATTTGGGGTGCAATTCAAGGTGACTTCTCGTAAGGTCACTCATCCTTGTTGTACTCCACACTAAGCACGTTTAACACAAGAACTCCGACATTACACCCCAAAATGCGTCTTGTCAGTTAAGGTCGGTTTCCTACTTATGAACCATGGATCTCTCTCGTGCTTTGTCGATGTGGGATTTGCCTAAGGTTGGGAGAAGATTTTTGCAAGGTGAGAGACGATTTGAAAGTTCAACCTCTGGTTGTTTCCTCTTCGCATTCTCTTTTATTCATTCTGAATGCCTGTTTGTCTTTTTCCCAATCGAGATATCGAGGACGCGTTTGCTGGCATAGGTGTTGGTGGTCGCTGAATCGCAGCATAAGATTACTAAGACCGGGGAATTTCTGAGTTGTAGAGAAATCATATGTTGGATTTTATTTTAGTATTGAAGATAGTACGAAAAATAACCAAATCTGCAAGTTCTGCTTTGGTTAAAGCTAAATGTTCTGTCTTTGATAGATGGGATCGTTCTCCCATTCTTCTGCTCAAGGATTTGTCTGATCGGAAGAATAGTTGTGAGGGATGGATTCAGTTTTATATGCTAAAAAGGTTTAGAAGTAGCATCATTACTGACCACTGAGTTCGTGTCATGGTCGTGTAGAATGTCTGCAAGTGTACTCAAAGTTGTCACAAACTACTAGCCGAGACTACTGCCACCAGTTTGCTAACCAGTCTGATTTTTCCTTGGTTGGTTTACTTCCTTTCCTTGCTGAGATATGTTGTGCTTTTGTCTTGCTTTGGGTTGTGAATTATTTTGTTTTGTTTTTATTGTGTACCTCTTCCTCAGATTCTATGTTCAGTAGAATGACAACTGGAGGGTTCAATAGAATGGCAATTGGTGGGTTCTTTTTTTTATTCAATATCTATGGGTTTTGATAGATAAGAGTTCACTTGGTTTTGGATCCTATGAATGAATTTTCCAAGCACCAAATGCTTCTAAAAAGTCCAAGTTAGTCTCCCAATTCGCACCAACTTCTAGTAAAAACGACCATTGAAATTCCAGGATGTGTCATGAGTTGCATTGCTGAACCAAACAACTATCTCTACCACCTTCAAATTATTTCGATGAACAAATATGTTGTCATAAACAGAATTATCAAGATCAAGCGTGACCCGTCACGGAGCACGGATCGATTACTAGTCCAATCATTAATTGGAACTTAACAATTGCAAATTACGAGACGAAAACACAGTAGGCTACTATAAACCGATTACAACGAAACCACAAAGTACCCAGCTTGCATTGAATAAAGCTTGTCGTGCGGTTTTTTCGTGTTGACATCTACATCCCACATTTGTCAAGCTTAGTGCACTACTTAATGCTCACATAAGGATAAAGTAAGCTTTAAATTGACGAAAAGGTACATGGCTATAGAAATCTGAAAATACAAATAAAAAGACCCTATAATTGATGTATATCTTCTGCTTTATTTTATTTTTATTTCTGAGTGATATCAATGAGAAATAATAATTAAACTTACAATTCTACTCAGGGCCCCTAAAAGACCTTACAGAAGCCACCCCCAAGAAATCAAAAGATTATAGCTCTACAAGAGACAAAAGCAGTGCTTTACGCGCCACTCTATGGGTAGCACTGTTGGCGGATCTAGGTACCGCCCTAAACTCTATACAAACAAACAAAGAGCTAAGGATCTGAAGACACTCTCGTAACACCGGACCACCAATCGAGTCTTCTAAGACGCCTTGACGGACTTGGTTGACGACCACTTCGGAGTCACCTTCGACTATCACGTGGGTCAAGGATCTTGAGGCTACAAAGGAGATAGCAACCCTGAAAGCTAGAAGTTCGGCCAAATAAGGGTCGACTATTCCTTGATGCTGCAACCCGAACGCCAACAACACATGCCCGTCTGAACCACGGATAACAAGCCCAGACGAACACTCGGAGGCACTAACAGCTGCGTGCCTGCGTCGACGTTGATCTTCAAAAAGCCTTCTGGTGGAGGGACCCAAGTGGTGGCTGGAATGTTTGGGAGTAGAGAGCTGCGGGGAGGAGGGGGGGAAGAAGACTGGAAATTTCGAGGACCTGGTTGTAGAACTGTCTGGCTAGAGAACGGACATGAGGTTGGGTAAATTCAAATGTCACTTCATTTCTAGACTTCCGGATTCTCCAAAGTAAACACACGCATTGGAGAATGTGGAATGGGGAGGTCTTGAGATCATGACATGTCACCACCATGGCTTTGGGGTACAGGCGTTAGCCTTTTATCTGCCCTTACAATAGATGCCGCAGCCAGTGCCATGCATTCTTGGTCGAATAACAAACTCAAATTACAGGCCTCGTCGATACTCTAGTTGCTTGGTGTTTTCGAGCAATACCTGTACCAAAAAAAAAAAAAAAAAACTCCGGAGTGTAAGTAATTACTTGTCTGATGAAGAACACCAAAGAGAACTTTGTGACGAAGAGAGAGAGAGCCCCAGTTAATTGAAAGCTAACTATTACCTCCCGTATATAAGTTGCAATGGCCTTGCAGCCTTCAATTGCAAGCTGCATAACGTTTTCAACAATATCAACTGGCAACTTGGCATCCATCTGCGCAGAAATAATTGAAGGAATTGAGTAGTGAAGAACTAAACACCAATCAGACATCCACATTGTTTTATTTAAATTGAATTAACGATTAATGAAAACCAATCTCCCGATCCTAACCTGAAGAAGAGTCACTTTGTCTAGCTTCGGTAGAAACCCAACGGTGACATCAGGACCCCCAGCACTATCTTCCAGATAATTAAGATCTGTAGCAAATGCAGTAGGATTAGTGCGAGCTTTGATGGTTAACAGCTAACTGGAAAAGAGAAGGTATAAAGTGAAGGTACAAGCATACCTAGCAAAGGAGTGCTATTGAGGTAACCAGCAATACAGGAAGTCACAAGGTCACGCATAGGGATCCCAGCATCAGCTAGGGCCAAAGTTGCAGCATTTATACATGCAGATCTAGTTCCTGCAAGCAGATGCAGCCATGTGATGATAAGATAAGAACCTCTTTTACCAGGAAAGGTTTACGTACTAGTCACAAAGGACCACGTGGACACGATTATGTACATGATTAGTCATCAAGCAACTCCAAAAAGGGCGAACGACTCACCTCCATCAGCTTGGAGGACTTGCACGTAGATGTCTATCTGTAGGATTCACAAACAACACTATCCTTTAGGAAATGTAACAAGTGTTATCCTTCCTGATAAAATAAGGACAAAGCAGTAAGAAAATAACCTGAGAGCGGGCATTAGGTGAGTCAATATGCAAGCTTCCATTGTCTGGCGGATGACTAAAGATATCTCTGTTGATCGCCTGAGAATAATATGCAGGTGCCAAAAGAGTTAACAAGATCCCCCATTCTAGGATATGGCACAGGAATTTTACCAAGCCAAGCTTATGATAATAAAGATAAGAAAACCTTGTCATGCAAACAATTTGGCCCACATCATTGCAAATGCTGATTATCTATCTAATCCAGAGCCCTGGTTCAAATCTATACTCTCTAATTAATATCACACCTTAATAAACTATTAACTTTATAAGAACTATAAGAAACTAAAAAACTCAGAGAAAGGCAGAAACAGGTTGCATCATCTAGCATATCGAAACCATCTGGAAGCATTATGATTACCTATCGCCCTTTGGTTTACGCTTGCGGTCACCGGTGCTGAAATTGGCCATGGTGTACTCACACCTCACCTGCGGTTTACATGAGCAAAAAGTTAGAGGCTGATCTCATAGCTAGGCAACTCAACATAAAAATGTCAAGATCAACAATACCAATGCCTGGTCGTTACTCAGTTGGCTCTTGTTCTGGACCTGAACAATTAAAACCAGGCAGTCTCAGATAAGCAGTAAAAGCTGTAACTTGACGTAATTCCAAAAAGAAATTAGCACCCTTGGAGCTCAAACAAAGAATAATACATACCTCTCTAGGACCATAGACAGCAGCAATTACTTTGGTGTTGCCCATTTCAAAAACAGCAGAACTGCAAGTGTTCGGGATTTTAACTTGTTAATTCATACTAAATTCGAAGACATAAAAAATGCATTAGGGTTTTGAAGATACCCGTCAGCTCTGGCAACCGCGCCAATCTCTGGTCCAAAACCAAGCCTTCCGGCATTCGTAAGAGTTACCATACGAGCTCTTGTTGAAGCGTAATTAGGAGAAGAAGGCAACCGTGAGAACTAGTAGGTGTCGGAGTAGGCAAGAGAAGCGATGTGAATGAGAAACTGGCTGGCAGCGTCGGGAGAGGGTGAAGGCAGTGTTGTCGTCAACTTTGATTTAGATGAAAGAAAGGTTGTTGTGGTTGTCGGAATGAGTAGGCGAATGGGAGCTTGCAATGGTTTCAATGTGGCGGTCCTTTATAGTAAGACCAGCCAGTACTTGTTCTCCTAGAGTACCACTTGAATTACTGGAAAAGTAAGAGAGCAGCCTAAAACCTCACAAGATAAAAGTATACGTTGGGTGAGATTGAATTTAGAATATATATGGGATGCCTGGGAATTTGAAAAATAGAGCCGATGGGTCTGACGAGGTCACAGAACGGCAGGAAATAAATGACCCCATAACTTCTGAGAGCTCCCCCACATTCAGACTCCCAACGGTCATCATGGGAAGAGTCTTGATGAACTCACGCGTTGGAAATTAGTGTATGTTTAGTAATTTTGAGTTGAAAGTACTAGAAACTTTCGTCCTAAACAGAGGAAGGAAAGATTTGGAAGTATGTCCGGGAAAATTGGTGCAGATGGAGATAAATCCAATTTCATTAGTTGGAGCTTTAAGGTATCTCCAAGCGCCATTAGAGAATGGCCATAGTTAGAAGATGGGGATGGATATGTTACGAAATAAATACGTACGGGTATTTAATCAAGTTGTCCATTTAAATACACTAATAGGCATGAGGTTTGGGGATATTAGAAATAATTAATTAGTTAATAAAAAATGTAAATATTAGTTAAGGAAGCAATATAACTTAATAAATACGGATATTGAACGTGTTAAACACGATTTATAGGTGTTTAGCACATGAATCATCAAGTAAGCAGGGTAAAGTAAAACGGCTTGACAATAATATGTATACGAGAATATGTATGGACATATCTACATCTATTAAACGGACTATTTAGTAGCTGTGATCATGGCTGATAATAATAATATATATATGGGCATTGGCCGAAGCCAGTGGAACATTCCTCTTATTAATGTAAACAAACTGCAAAAGATACATTGGAATGACTCTGAAACTAACATGGACCAAGAGATCCTAACGAAACACCCGTAATGATTCCATCCAAAGTGAAGGAATCTACTATTAAGGACGCGTACATTAGCTTTAGTCAAACCATAAGCCACATATCTTAGCTTGCAAAGACTCGAAGAAACACCTGAATACGATGATACTTGGGAAGGATTTCTGCAAATTTATATTTGGGAACCTCCCCCCTGCTTGCCAATTCCAGTCATATAGAAACGTTAGTCCACTGCCATCTCGAGGTTCTGACCGTCGACCAGCTCCTGGATGGTAACTGCAGGTTTGATACGGGGACTAAAACTTTTAGGCATGGGCACTTCGTCAAGTATCTTATTTTTGCCGGTTGGTCCCCGCTGGGATTGTATGAACGGGCCCATTGGAACCAGCACGATCATGGTGGATTTTTGTCTGTTTCTTCCTTGAATAAACCACGGGTTGGCTACCTGCCGAGTCTCCAACTTCTTCCTCAAATTGATTTCTCAGCCCACTTCCAGTATCCAAAGCTTCTGAGATAGAAATCCCATTTCCTTGGATTTTCATAACCTCTTTTGTGTGAAAGGCCTCATCCATCGGGGGTGAATGGGCCTTGGATGGAGAGCCCAATGTTGCTTCAGCTTGAGATTTCAAGGCAGCTGATCCACTGTTCTCAGCTCTATATGTGGATTTTGTGTTTCCACTTTCCGCCGACAGTTCCCCATTCTCAGCTATCTTCCTTTTTTGGGTCTTCGATTGAGAAGTCGAGTGGCCGCTGGCATTGTATCCCGGCGCATTGTCAGCTACCAGAGGGGCAGGGAGGAGAAGAGGCATTGAGTTAGGAATCCTCCAGACGTTTCTTTGTTGGCGTCGGATTGGTTGGAGAGTAAGCTCATCAATCTTATGTCCTCCAATGTCACCCTTCAGCTCCGGACCAAAACGATAATCTGACCCTGCTTCCTTGGGAAGTCGGCAAAGTTGTGGCCCATTACTCCACAGTAGAAACAGTACACCGGAAGCCGCTCATACCGTAACGAAGACCAGAATGCCGTCTCGATCACACCATCCTCTCTGATTTTTTGAGAGGTACGGAAATATCCAGCATGACCCGGGCTTTGGCAACGTATCCAGGGTCTTGTCTGATTGCATAAAGAGCCGTTTACTTCACAGGTCCTAGCTGTTCAGCTAGCTTTTGGCCGACGGCGACGGTGCGGAATGTTGGTGGCATTCCCCAGATCTGGACTGTGAACAGAACCCTGGCTAGTTGGTTGTAGAGGTACACTGTTGGCGGCCTCCACATTTGCAATGTGATGATGTTTGATTTGATGTACCAAAGAGAGCGCCTCAGAGTTTCTTTAAGATCCGCCTCGTTTCAAAAGACAAAATTGAAACAGTCCATGATCAGCATCAAGAACGGAGACTGGGTTTCTGGTGGTCCCATACATTGTTGACAATGTGCTGGATTCTAGCTCTTGCAGGTCGGGTAACCGAGAAGAATGCTAGATTTCTGAATGAAAATCTTGTTCTCTGTATTGAATGAAAGAATCGTACAGAGTTCAGTACATAGGTCTGAATTTATACTCTGTTCTATAGGAGGGAAAGTCGTTACAATCCTAACAAACTAGACAAATTACACTTTAGATCCTATTTACATTTATTCTACCTATACTAATCCTAAACATCTAGGTTATTTACATAACGATACCTATATCATCTAATACCCCCCGCAAGCTAAGCATGGATAGATCGCATGTTTAGCTTGGAGATCAGTTCAACAAACGTGTGTACTGGTAGAGCCTTAGTGAATGGATCTGCAAGTTGGAGAGTCGTGGATATATGCTGAACCTTCAACTTCCCAGCATTGACCTGATCGCGAGTGAAATGGCAGTCTACCTCTATGTGTTTAGTGCGTTCGTGTTGGACGGGATTCTCTGTCATTTTAACGACAGAGAGGCTGTCGCAGTAAACCATGTAGGGCTGTGTAGGTTGAAATGGAAGCTGCTGAAATAAAGCTGTCATCCATTGCAGCTCTTGAGATGTGTCTGCCAACGCCCTGTACTCGGCTTCTGCTGATGATCTGGAAATGGTTGGTTGCTTTTTGGATCTCCAGCTTATCAACGAATTCCCTAAGAACACACAAAAACCAGTGACAGAACGTCGAGTGTCAGGACAGCCAGCCCAATCAGAATCAGAAAAGGCAGTAAGGCGAATGGAGGAATTACAAGGAAAGAATAAACCACGAGCTGGAGTTGTTTTTAAGTATCGAAGGAGCCTATGAGTGGCCTGTTCATGAGCAGTTGTAGGAGAATCTACAAACTGACTGAGTTGGTTGACAGTATAACAAATGTCAGGCCGTGTATTGCACAAGTATTGGAATCGACCAATGAGTTTCCTGTAACTAGAATGACCTGTTTCATCAAGTTTAGTGCCATCTTTTGCAGACAAATGTGTGGCAGGAACAGAGGGAGTTGTTGCTGGTTTTGATGCTAAAAATCCAGTATCAGAAAGTAAATCTAGTGTGTATTTCCTTTGACACAGGTGGATACCAGTTTCAGATCTGGATACCTCCATGCCAAGGAAATATTTTAAGGGACCAAGATCTTTAATTGTGAAAGCAACATCCAATTGATGTTTAACACGTTTGATCTCATCTAAGTTGTTGCCTGTTAAGATAATATCATCGACATAGACTAATAAGGCTGTAAAAGAATTGTCAGAATACTTAGTGAATAGGCTGTAATCACTGTGAGACTTCTGATAACCAAGAGTTTCAAGAGTAGTGGCTAATTTTTCAAACCATTGACGACTTGCCTGTTTTAGGCCATAAAGAGATTTGGTAAGCTTACAAACTTTATTTTGATCAGAAGGATGAACCTGTAGACCAGGAGGCAACTTCATGTATACATCTTCATGAAGGTCTCCATGTAAGAAAGCTGTATTGACATCAAGTTGTTCAAGATGCCAATTATAGATTGAAGCTAAGGCCAAAAGAATCCTAACTGTGGTCATTTTAACTACTGGTGAAAATGTGTCCAGATAGTCAATACCAGGGGTCTGAGTGTAGCCTTTGGCTACCAATCGAGCTTTGTATTTATCAATTGAACCATCTGGTTTAAACTTTAATCGAAAAACCCATTTATTGCCTATGATAGGAACGTTGGGTGGGGGATCAACTAGTACCCAGGTTTTGGTTTTTTCAAGAGAGGCAAACTCAGAGTTAACAGCTGCTAACCATTCTTTGCTTTTTGCTGCTTCTCTGTATGTTTTAGGTTCTCTTATTGCAGTGATTGATAATGCAAAATGTCGATGAGAAGGACTGAGAGAACTGTAAGATAACATCTGTTGAATAGGATATTTGGCTGAAGACAGTAAATTAGCTTGACTAACTAGATTACACTTGTAATCATGTAGTTTAGCTGGTTTGATAATCTGTCTTGTTGACCTTCTCAACTGAGGTTGAATAACAGGAATAGAATCAGTTGTTGGAACTGATGTTTCAGAAGAAAAAACTTCTGAAGTGGTAGGGGTAGTTGATGGTATTGACTGTGAAATGGAAGGTGGAAAAACAGTGTGAGCTTTAGTGAATTCCAGGTCTGAGGAGATCACTGGAAATACAGGAAGAGGAACTGATGTAGTCAAGTTATCAGAGGACTGATGAAAGGGGAATATAGTTTCATGAAATGAAACATCCCTTGAGACAAAAATATTATGAGTAATCAAATTGTATAGTCTAAACCCTTTTGTGCCATGTGGATGTCCTAGGAAAACACAAGGATTAGACCTGTGATCAAGTTTAGTGCGTGTTGCTTGAATAGTGGCAGCATATGTGAGGCAACCAAATACCTTTAAATGATTTAGAGAAGGTGGAGAACCATGGAGTTTCTCAAAGGGAGTGAGGTTCTGAAGAAGAGTGGTAGGAGTTCTGTTAATTATGTGAACAACATGCATTGCTGCAAAATTCCAGAACTGTGGAGGTAGTGAAGCTTGAAATAATAGGGCTCTAGTGACTGCTAAAATATGCTGATGCTTTCTTTCAACAATTCCATTTTGTTGAGAGGTGTAAACACAAGTAGTCTGATGAATTGTTCCCTTAGAATTATAAAAATCTGGAATATGGAATTCAAGGCCATTATCTGTTCTAATAGTCTTGATTTTACTGTGAAACTGTGTTTCAACAAAAGCAAAGAAAGAAATGATGATGGGGCGTGCTTCAGACTTGGCTTTCATTGTAAAGATCCAAGTATGCCTACTGAAATCATCTACTATTGTTAGAAAATAAGCATGACCTTGTAATGAAGAAACAGGGGCATTTCCCCATATATCAACATGTAAAATGTCAAATGGAGCTGATGTTTTACTAGTACTTGTAGGAAAAGGAAGCCTTTTCTGTTTGGCTTGGGGACAAACAGTACAGTGAAAATCAGAATGAGTTGTAATGGAACTATCTAGACTGTGGAAAAGCTTGAGTTTACAGTCTGGAATGTGGCCAAGTTTGTAATGCCAGAGATCAATGGAATTCTTTGATGTAGAGAAAGCTACTGTAGGAGATACAGGCTGAGTGTTGTTAAGAATGAGATTATGCTGTAATTGGGCAGTTTGAGAAGGATGGTGTAAGAGATAGAGGCCATCAACCAGACTAGCTGTTCCAATCATTGTCAAACTGGGGTAGGCCTGAATGAAACACAGGGAATAATGAAACCATAAGCAAATGGTTGTACTACGAACTAGTCTGCTGACAGAAACTAGGTTGAAGTTGAAAGCAGGAACAAGAAGAACATCATAGAGAATCAAATGTTCAGAGTATTTAACAGTTCCTATAGCTGAAACTGAAACTTTGCTACCATCAGGCATGTGGACATAGGTGTTAGAAACTGGTTTAGAATTTAAAAAGTGTGTGGGAGAACAGATAATATGATATGTGGCCCCAGTATCCAGAATCCATCTATTTTTGAGATAACAATTAACATTTAAAACATAATGAGTCATACCTGATGGCTCAGAAGTGTCAAATGCATGAGAAGCAACAGAATTTGCACGACTGATCATATTGTGCTGACCAGATCCTTCACTGTCATTAGATGCTGAGTAATGAGCAGGATTATTATTGGCTGGATAGGCATCTTGGAATGCAGATGGTCCAGGATAATGCTGCTGCTGAGGAGCAGAGAACTGTTGCTGCTGAAGAGCAGAAAACTGTTGCTGCTGAGGAGCAGAAAACTGAGTTTGTACAACAGGAAGCTGAGAAGAAGCATTAGGCTGCTGCTGAGGATAAGGTTGCATAAGATTCATCATCTTGTGATAATTCTGCTGAAAACTCTGCCAATCTGACTGATTAATGACTACTGTTCCATTAGAGGAAGCAATATCAGTAGATATGCTGTTAGCCTGCCTAGTTGGTGGCTTTTTCTTTGACTGATAGCCAGGAGGATAGCCATTTTTCTTATAGCAAATATCCTCAGTATGACCAGTGTATCCACAGAAGGTGCAAACAGGCTTCTTGCCTTGTTTCTTGAATCCTTGTCCAACACCCTGAATACCCAGATTTTGCCCAGAAGCTTTTGTAAAGAATGCCATACTATCTGAGGTAGAATTAGGGTTTGGCTGAGGTTTAGAAAGTAATCCATTCTCCCTTTCATGTTGAATCATCATGGCAAAGACTTTGTTAATGGGAGGCAGTGGATCTAATAGCATAACTGTGGAACGAGGTCCATTGAAGCTATCATTCAAGTTCCTTAGGAATCTAATAACCTTGTCATTCATATAATCTTTGCGCAAAGAAGCCAGAATGCAATGATAGGTAATTCCACAATCACAATCAGGAATGAAACGGTAGTTTGCTAACTGATCCCATAAAGCACGCTGCTTAGAGTAGTACTGAGAAACGCTCATTGTACCTTGCTTTAGATTGAAGATCGATTCCTGGAGATCAGCAATGCGGAAAGAATCCCCATGAGAAAACTGCTCGCGGAGCTCTGTCCAGGCACCAATAGCAGTAGTTACATACAGAATGCTCTCAGCAATCGTAGGGTTAACAGAACGCTGAATCCAGCTAAGAAGCAGCTTGTTGTTGTGATTCCACGGCTCGAGAAGTGGAGAATCATCAGTTGGCTGCGGGATTTTGCCATTGAGAAACCCTAACTTGTTCTTCCCATCGATGACGAGAACCATCGATCTTTCCCAGCTCGAGAAATTGTTCTCGTTGAGTGGCTGAGAGACGAGGCATTGGCCCCAGTTTTCCGAGGGGTGAATGAAGAACGGAGAGGCGGGATCGGAGATCGGAACGCCTTTATACAGAATCACACCAGAAGCGTTCTGGAGACCTCCATTGTGAGGATTTGCGGCGTCGTCGCCGGAGGAAGAAGAGGAATCATGAATCGCCATAGGAGAACGATATCAAGAACTCAGTTGGAGAAGAAGAAGTGAGGCGGAAGCGAGATTGGGAGACGAAATTGGCTCAGAAAAGCTCTGATACCATGCTAGATTTCTGAATGAAAATCTTGTTCTCTGTATTGAATGAAAGAATCGTACAGAGTTCAGTACATAGGTCTGAATTTATACTCTGTTCTATAGGAGGGAAAGTCCGTTACAATCCTAACAAACTAGACAAATTACACTTTAGATCCTATTTACATTTATTCTACCTATACTAATCCTAAACATCTAGGTTATTTACATAACGATACCTATATCATCTAATAAAGAACCTGCCAATGAGACTAAGTTGCCCACGAGTGTGGCCAGCCGCAAGGTCGGCCTCGGAGAAACCGACAGCGGAGATTTTTGGTTGACCAGCCATGGTTATAGGATACGAATTTAGTAGGGTGGAGATTGAGATGCGTTGGGTTGGGTTGGGGGACCAGTACGGGACTGTGTCTGTAAAGAGAGATATTGATAAGCCCAGAACTATCGATAGAATTATAGAGCAAGATTGCTTTGGTCTCTAAGTAGTGGAGCGAGATTCTTCCTTAGCTAGCATAAAGATATAGATATATATAATAAATCTACAAGTCACCAACTCGCATTAAAGAAGATAATCAAGGGAATGGTCTTACTCCATACACCCAGCTGCCTTATCCCTGTCATGATATGGGAAGAATTAAATGGGATGAAATTATCAGTGTGACCCATTCCTGGGAGCAGGTATTCACGGGGAATTCAAGCGTTTTCATTCGTCCAGTGTAGCAGATGGTCACGGGGGAATTGAATGCTAGTCCATCCCGCTGGTAATTAAATTTTTGGGAAGGTATAATTTGTATATTTGGCTTATGAGAATCCTTGTGTCCTGGTAGGAAAAGCAAGAAAGTTCCTATTTGTCCAATTCTCACGGAGGCTCAGCCTCGATATTAGCTAATTCATGAGCCTGATTGCAGCTGAAACACTATCGGGGAAGCAAAATATTATGTTCGGAGATGTATGGGAATTGCTTACTCTACTCATATGTAGTCGATTCAATTTTGAGAGCTTAGTACTTAGTATCAGCCGGGTATATTCCGATCCAATGTGCTATCAATTTCCTTTGACTCTTCATATATCCATATTACAGGACTACCTTGGTGTTAATGAGGTCGTGCTCAAACCGATATATTGATTCAACGAGATTGGTAATGGTAGTTAGTGAGAAGATTGATCGTAATTTTCAGTTACTTTTCGAGTTTGATGCTTGGTATCGAAATGAAATGGAGATGAAACTCTTATAAAATTGGGATAAAGAAACCTCTTATAATAGAGGTATAGGGGTTTTAGGTGACTGGTCAATCCAACTCAAGAGCTACCGGAGGTATGGTGGCAGTTAAATTCAAATGGGTGGCGCAATCCGCAGTCCTCAAATGAAGAGTATTCCAAATTTCATTACAGTGATTGTTTTCTTTCAACTCCAGAGGTAGACTTACAGGAAGGTATATTTACTGACTAATTCACCAAGGATAAGGTTTGTCCTAGATCGGAATGTCTCAAGGCATCATAACGCCGTCATAAATAGTAAGGGTCCAAAGTAATCCAAGCCGGCGGTGATGGCTTCCATCGCCACGCCGCTCTCTCCTGACTATTCATCCACTCGGATTCAAGGATATACTCTGATTGAAACTGTAGTTTTAGTCAACAAATCTCCAGCGCCGACGCTAGATAAATTACCATGATTCCTTTTCACTGTCATCAAATTGATGGATAGGAGATTTCACAGATTAATTCTGAGGCAGAATCCTGTAATGCCGCATGAAGCTGGCAATTTACAATTCGCAATTAATATCACCGTAGGAAAGCCTGGTTTATGAGGTTATGGAAAAGGAAGTCGGGAACCCGCCGGGCTCTAGCGGAGGAAGCGAGGTCGAGTAAGGCTCTCAAATGCGCCGGCGTTTGAGGCAGCATGAGCCACCGACACTCTCCACTTACACCCTCTTGGTCATCTGATCCAAAACTTGCTTGACTCACCCGTTTACCATCTCTATCGGAATCCAACACCCAAAAGCAAAAGAGAGGAAAAATAAATAGGTCGCCAACGCACCCAACGGCGATGGATGAGAAGGTGAATTTCCAACTGAGCTTTCCGATTTGCTTGTGAGAACCTTGCATCGTAGACATAGCTGGATCTTGGAGAGAGACTCACCTTGTCTAGATCTGGCCCTGGTTTGCTTGATTGAATCAAGTTTCTTTTGTACTTCATCTCAAATTTGGATTTGAAACTCGATGATGAATTAGGTGCAGTCATGCATCCTTAAGGTTCCGATCGAAGGAAACCCAACCGGGAGTTGTCACTTAAAATCGTTCCACATTGTTTTGGGAGGAAGAAGAGACAGCAAAGCATATCGCCTTACCTGGTTGTTCATCGGCGAAGAACCGCTGACTTTACTAGCAGAATGTTGCTGATGAAGTGAACTGAATCAGAATCCGCTCTGGAAAAGGAAAGCTGCACCAGTGTTTAAGTGTTGCTTAGTTAAACTGTGTCGTTTTGGTTTGTTTCTGTTTGGTACTTAAAGTTTGTCGAGGGTTAGTAGTGATCATTGTTGCTGAACTAGCCGTTGCAGCTGTTTGTTGCAGCAGGGTCGAGTAGTTAGGCAGGGAGCTATTTTCCAGGGATCATGGGGATAGGGTTGTTTGTCAAAGCCGAGTTTGAGGGCTGTAGTTGAGAGTCCTCTGTATATATTTCAATTCCAATCAATGAATAAAGGCGTCAGTTTGCAGTACATCTGAGTTAACAAAGTGGTATCAGAGCGGGATTGCAAGCTGTAACCAAGAGAGATTTGTGTGATTCGTGAGTAAGTAAAGAGTGATTCTCTGGGTTGGGAAACACGAGTGAACAAGTGAGGCAAGATATTTCCTGGTGAGAGCTCAAATATGAGTGAAAGCAGCTTTGCTCAGGTCTGTATACCCAAGTTTGATGGGGATTTCGACCACTGGAGCATGCTGATGGAGAACCTTCTGCGATCTAAAGAATACTGGGCAGTGGTTCAGGATGGAATAAGGGAGCCTGCACAAGGAGAGGAGCTGACTGAGGCTCAGCAAAGAGTCCTGGAGGAAAGGAGATTGAGAGATCTCAAGGCAAAGAATTACTTATTCAGCTCCATTGACAAGAGCATTTTGAAGACAATGACTCAAAAGGCAACAGCCAAGGAGCTGTGGGATTCAATGAAAACAAGGTACCAGGGCAGTGAAAGGGTGAAGAAGTCACAACTCCAGAGTCTCAGGAGAAGTTTTGAACTGCTGCAAATGAAGGAGGGAGAGTCTGTTACAGACTATTTTGGAAGAGTAACTGTGGCCAACTCTATGAGGAACTGTGGAGAGATGATGCCAGATGTGAAAATAGTGGAAAAGGTACTGAGAACACTGACTGCAAAATTCAATTTCATAGTCTGTTCTATAGAAGAGTCCAAGGACATAGAAGAATTGAGTGTTGAAGCTTTGCAAAGCTCATTGCTTGTGCATGAGCAAAAGTTTATTAAGCAATCTGAGGAAGAACAGGCTTTGAAGGTGACTTTTGAGTATGGAGGAAGAGGTGGACGAGGTCCAGGGAGAGGCATGTATCAGGGTAGAGGAAGGGGAAGAGTAAGGGGATTGAATCGTGACTTGGTAGAATGCTTTAAATGTCACAAACTGGGACATTTTAAGGCAGAATGCCCTGAGTGGTATGGCAATCACCAAACACACTATTCAAGTCACAGTTCCAATCCTAATCAGTCACAATTCAACCACCCTGACATGACTGAAGATGTTCTACTCATGGCTTTTGTCGAGAAGAAAGAAGAAGAAGCAGGAGTGGATCTGCAGAATTCAATGGCCTTTCTGGACTCACAGCTTGAAGAGACAAGGGATACCTGGTGGTTTCTTGATTCTGGCTGCAGCAACCACATGAGTGGAGAAAAGCAGTGGTTCACTACCATGGAAGACAATGATGATTGCAATGTGAAGTTGGGCAATGGATCGAGGCTTACAGTTGCTGGCAAAGGCACAGTCAGGATAGTGGTAGATGGAGTTTCTCTGGCAATCAGTGATGTGTTCTATGTTCCAGGGCTCACTACAAACCTGCTGAGCGTAGGACAATTACAAGAGAAGCAGTTGAACTTTGTCTTCAAAGAAGGAACTTGCAAAATCTATCATGAGGAGAAGGGATTGTTGCTGCAAACAACAATGAAGACCAACAGAATGTTTGTTCTGCACTCTCAGAAGCAGACTAACAGTTCTAACAATAATCATCACCGTTTGCACCAAACTGAAGCCAGTAACAAGCTATTCAATCTCTGGCATAGGAGATTTGGACATCTAAACAGCAAAAGCCTACTGCAGATGAAGAAAAAGGAGGTTGTGCAAGGATTACCTCAGCTGCAAGGAGACCTGGGAGTCTGCTCCACCTGCCAGATTGGAAAGCAACACAGAGCCAGCTTTCCTAAGCAAAGCACATGGAGAGCAACCAAGAGACTCCAGCTGATTCATGCTGACCTATGTGGACCAATCACACCAGTGTCCAATGGGGGAAAAAGATACATTCTCACTATCACTGATGACTTCAGCAGGAAGTTGTGGGTGTATTTCTTGGAAACAAAAGCAGAAACTCTAAGTTGTTTCAAGAAATACAAAGCTCAAGTAGAAAAAGAAGCTGGTGAACCTATTGTGTGTCTCAGAACTGATCGAGGAGGGGAATTTCTTTTGAATGAGTTCAAAGGATTATGTGAAGCTGAAGGCATAAGGAGGCAACTGACTGCTGCATTGACTCCCCAACAGAATGGGGTTGCTGAGAGGAGGAACAGGACCATAATGAACATGGTCAGGTGCTCCATGGCTGATACAAGAGTCCCTGCAACATTCTGGCCAGAGGCTGTGGCATGGACCAGTCACATTTTAAACAGAAGTCCTACCTCAGCAAACTCTGGAAAAACACCACATGAGCTCTGGTCAGGTAAACCTCCAGCTGTTGGTCATTTTAAAGTGTTTGGATGTGTAGCATATGTCCATGTGAATGATCACCTGAGGAAGAAATTGGATGCCAAAAGTATACAGTGCTACTTCCTAGGCTTATCCACTGAGTCTAAGGCTTATAAACTGTATAATCCTGTTACCAAAAAGATAGTGATCAGTAGGGACGTGGTCTTTGATGAGACCAAGGGCTGGTCTTGGGAGTCTGAAACTGAACCTGTATTGACCAAAGTGACTTGGGAAGGAAGTAATGAGCCATGGTATGAATCTGATGAGGAGGAAGAAACTGCCACTACAGAATCAACACCATCAGTCACACCACCAGCAGACCCATCAACAGAACCAACTACACCAATTCCTTCTGCAGCAACTCAAGCACCTCAGGATGATGGGGAGGAAGATGAGGATAATGATCCTGATGTGCTTGGCCTTCCCAGTGGAGGATTAGGTCCCAGAGTGAGGAAACCACCCAGCCACTTGTCAATTTATGACTGCACTTACTTTGCAGGCTTAGACTACTGGGCTATGGTAACTATCAGTGATGATCCTACTACTTTTGAAGAAGCTGTGCAGAATGAGAAGTGGAGAAAGGCAATGCAGCAAGAAATGATCAGCATTGAGAAAAATGACACATGGATTCTGGTGACATTACCTGCAGGGGTGACTCCAATTGGAGTTAAGTGGATTTTCAAGACTAAGTTGAAGGAGGATGGATCTCTGGACAAATTCAAAGCAAGGCTAGTGGCAAAAGGGTATGCACAGAAACATGGTATAGACTATACTGAAGTCTTTGCTCCTGTGGCCAGGTGGGACACAATCAGAACCCTTCTTGCACTAGCAGCATATCATGGTTTTCCAGTATATCAACTCGATGTAAAGAGTGCCTTTTTACATGGTGAGCTGACTGAGGAAGTCTACATCGAGCAGCCTCAAGGTTTTGAAGTCAAGGGTGAGGAACAGAAGGTTTATAAACTCAAGAAAGCACTGTATGGGTTGAAACAGGCTCCAAGAGCCTGGTACAGTAGGATTGAGGCCTATTTTCTCAAATCTGGCTTTGAGAGAAGTGATTATGAGCATACATTGTTCATAAAGAAGTCTGGAAATGACCTCCTGTTGGTCAGTCTCTATGTAGATGATCTTATGTACACCAGCAGCAGCTCTGAGCTCATAGAAGAATTCAAGAAGTCCATGCAAGAAGAATTTGAAATGACAGACCTAGGGAGGATGAAGTACTTTCTGGGAGTGGAGGTGCATCAAAGTAAAGCTGGAATCTTTATCAATCAGCAGAAATATGTGAAGGAGGTATTAGAGAAGTATGGTCTGTCAGCTTGCAATTTTGTGAAGAACCCTTCAGCCCCTGGAACTAAACTGTCTAAAGCAGGAGATGGGGTTCAGGTAGAAGCTACTGAGTATAAAAGTTTGATTGGCAGCCTGCTTTATATGTGTGCTACTCGGCCAGATATCATGTATTCTGTGTGCTTGTTAAGTAGATTCATGGAGGCACCAACAAGACAGCATATGTTTGCAGCTAAAAGGGTCTTGAGGTACTTAAAGGGCACTATAAGTCATGGCATTTGGTACAAGAAGAAGGATGGAAATGATAAGTTGGTGGGGTACACTGATAGTGATTATGCAGGTGACTTGGATGATCGAAAGTCAACCAGTGGCTATGTGTTCTTCATTGCTGGAGGGGCCATTTCATGGGCCTCGAAGAAACAGCCAGTAGTCACTTTATCAACCACTGAAGCTGAGTTTGTGGCTGGATCCTATTGTGCAGCCCAATGTGTCTGGTTGAGGAAGATACTAGAACAGATGGGTTGGAAGAGCAGTGTTGATACTGCCACAAGAGTTCTGTGTGACAGCAGCTCTGCAATCAAGCTGTCCAAGAACCCTGTACTTCACGGCAGGAGTAAACACATCGACGTGCACTTTCATTTTCTGAGGAATTTGGCTAAGGAAGAGGTGATTGAGATGGAACATTGTCGAAGTCATGAACAAGTTGCTGATATCATGACAAAATCCCTCCAACTGGATGCGTTTCAAACACTAAGATATCAATTGGGAGTCTGTGATGAAAGAGAGTTCGAAGAAGCAGGAGCCAACAGTGGAGAAAAGGAGCACTAAGGTCTGTGAAGGGGGATTCAGTTCAGGGGAGGATAATGTTGCTGATGAAGTGAACTGAATCAGAATCCGCTCTGGAAAAGGAAAGCTGCACCAGTGTTTAAGTGTTGCTTAGTTAAACTGTGTCGTTTTGGTTTGTTTCTGTTTGGTACTTAAAGTTTGTCGAGGGTTAGTAGTGATCATTGTTGCTGAACTAGCCGTTGCAGCTGTTTGTTGCAGCAGGGTCGAGTAGTTAGGCAGGGAGCTATTTTCCAGGGATCATGGGGATAGGGTTGTTTGTCAAAGCCGAGTTTGAGGGCTGTAGTTGAGAGTCCTCTGTATATATTTCAATTCCAATCAATGAATAAAGGCGTCAGTTTGCAGTACATCTGAGTTAACACAGAAAGCTCTGATCGGCAGCTTTCTCTCCTTTCTCTCCCACTCGTTGAGGAGCTGTAGGAGTTAGTATGAGAGAGAATCACAGGCAACTTGGCTCCATTTGTTTGTCACCTTTGGATCTCTGAAGCAGCGGTACGGCCAAGACCGAAGGACCTCTTTTGGCGTGTGGACATAGTAAGGAACATTGAAGATCTTCCGGCAATCATCATCGTCATCCTCCGGAGAATCGGAATTGGCGACGGCGGTGGCCACCTCTATAGAGTGTGGTGGTTGCCGGTTGGGATTTGGGGTATTGAAATCGGACTCTGTACCGTGAGAGTTGGAGAGTAGTGGTAGGCTAGTGACAATCCACAGACATGGTTGGCTGCGGATGGGTAGATCCAAAACAAAAACAAATTTTCATCTTCAGCCATTGATATTGTATACACTGAGATTCCTTGTGTCTCCTTTGATATCCAACCATATATAGTCAATGAGACACCAAGAGGGCAGCATAAGGGCTACTTTGTAAGGCGCCACTGAGGAATATGCATATGCAATGCAACTCTCATAATAGAAAAATAGTTGACTCATAGGACTTTCACATATGCATGGGTAATACTGTTAATATCTTTTTCTGCCTTACATTTTCCACGCCCACTATTATATAGTATATACATACACCGAGGAACCATTCTGTCAGTAGGACATCAGTGGGATCTTATTCCACTACTTGACGATTATAAACTTTCCAGACATTATTATATCAAACTTGTTATTATTCTGCCTTGATTGAACTGTAAGTCTGTAATGTCAGGTTTCAGACAGCCTTCTGATTTTATTGCCGAGGTCTTAAACTTAGTTGTCCTTACTAGTTCAATGTTATATGCAGGGTATGTATCTAACGTCAAAAGAGCAGCAGCAGCCTTCATATCTTACTGCTATGTTTGACTGGCTATGGGCAAGAGTGATTGCTGCGATATTGCTGCCAGTCCATATGCTGGCTAAGGTGCTTGTCTACCGGAAGATCCGCTCTGCGAACGGAATAAGCAAGGTATGTCCCTGTCTATTGGATTATTTGTTAAAAGAATAGTGTCCGTTAGACCGTTGTCTGCCTGTGATCTTTGGTATTTAACCAGTTCTCTCAAAATCATGAATGGACTATTTCTTTGATGAAATAGATTAGTCGGCACTTGGGCCTTCGAGAGTAGCATCAACCCATCTTGCAGTCTGTCGTTGATAGATGCTTGTTGAGTAGAAAGGGAATTAGGGATTGAAGAGAAGAAGAAGATTAGGGATTTGAGAGAATTGGGGAAGAACCAGAGAAAGATAGAGTTAGGGATTTCTGTTTATTTCTTGCTTAATTTCCAAATGAGTGTACAGAACCCCTTTTTATGAGTTCAATGGAAAATAACAAAATGGCCACTCCTACTCTACCCAGCCGACCCGCCCTCACCCCTCTCATCCTCGGTTTCTATCATCCCCTTCCCCATCAGAAGCGACCTTGTCCTTAAGGTCAAATGTCGGGAACCGCTGCCGAAGGGTTGTCGTCTCCTCCCAAGTGGCGTCCTCCCTCTTCATGTGCTGCCACAAGACCAAGCTTTCCTCGATCACGCGTCCGCCCTTCTTGACCCACCTGGTGTCTAACACCTGCAAAGGAACCAGCTCGAGGTCCCCGTCCGCCGACACTGGCGGTGCAGTCGTCTCCACTCGATCCGCCGCGCCGCGATACCTCTTCAATAGGGACACATGAAAGGTAGAATGAATGCGCGCATCTGCCGGGAGCTGAAGATGATAGGCCACCGGATTAATCTTCTGCAACACCTCGTATGGCCCAAAATACCGTGCCGCCAGCTTCTGATATGCCCGCCGGAATACAGACGCCTGCCTGTAGGGGTGCAGACGGAGCAGAACCCACATAGTACTAGAACCATTATCAAACCAGTCAAGACCTCCAAATCTCTTAGCAATTTTCTCTGCCATTTGCTGTGTTCTCAGCTCGGCAGGGAACCCTAGTATCCTGATCCATAGATCTATCATATGTAGATCCTCAGGTTTAGGTTTTTGGATTGTTGAGCTGATCTTGAACACTATGAGAGAGTTTTCATAGTGCCAAGGCCCTCCAAAGCAGACCTTGTTTCTGTCATCCATCTCTAGAAATTGAAACGCAAAAAGCATATCTCCTAGCTCTGTAATCTAAAACCCCTTACGTAGTTTCCATGCTTTTGCTAGGGAAATCTTCATTGACTTGATGTTTGGTTCCTTTTCAGAGACCAGGTGCCCAATCAGCCCCAGTCGGCGTACCGCTTCCATTCGGAGAACATCGACATCCGAGTCCTCGACCTCTAAGGGTTCTTCATCATCCTCCTCTAGTGTGATGTTATTGAGCTGCGCCTCCAGCTCCAATGGTTCTGTCCTCTCTTTGCTCGTCGCTGTGTCCTTCGTAGCCTCCTCTCTTGCTTCCATTCTGTAAAGCTCTATAAGGTTGTACTCGATCTCTCCAGTATCAAGATCTATCCTTCCTGAGAACACCCCGTGCCAAAACGCTCTTTGATGCCTTGAGCTAGGGTTTTCCAGGAGAAAACTCAAGATTTCTTTAGCACGTTACTGCTTCTGTTTGTATTCTTTGTGATTGCAAAGTGTTAAATAGGTCTCTATCACCGTCAAAAGTAATCCCAATCCTTCTAAGCCTCGAATTTCCTTGATCCACGAGGAAGAAATCCCCGAGGCTCACCCCGTAACCTATAAAAACTCGGAAAAACCTTAGGGTTTCCGCCGCCTCTCAGCTCTCGCTAAACGAGAGAGTTTGAATCAATGATATTACTATTATTGTTGTTCCCACTCTGTAGACACTTGATCATAATGATATTGTAACATAGAGTTTTTACTTTAGTTATCTTGATACGGTAAACCGGTACGACTAGTATCATCAAACCGATTGGTGTTTAAAATTGGTCAAGTTCAATCGACGACAGTCAAATTCGGTCATAATTTGTCGGTTAGTCCAAAAACTATATTTGAGTACCAAAAATAAACATCCATAATGAGATTCAAACCAAGTAGATCATGTTTACTAGTTGTTTTGAACCCTATATTTTTTCTTTTTTCTTTTTCCCATTAAAAATGAGATACATGTCCTCTTTCCATTAATATGTTTTATTTATTTTATTGACTTTTTGTTCCACGGGATTCTAATTAGCAAAATCCTTTTCCGTTGAGTTTTATAATATTAATATCAAATATCCAAAATATAACTAATCCGTTTCAAATGCATAAAAATTCATACTATTTATGAAAATTTTCATTAATTTTCAAAATGTCAAATTCATTGTTGAAAGGACACTATTTTTATGTGCACTCAAAATTTCACAATGTATATTATATAAGATAATAAAATTTAAATAACTTAATTATTATTAATCTAACCATAAAAAAGTTTATTATTATACATTATAATAGACTTAGCCACTAATTTGTTTTTTTTATCATAGAAAACTTAGTCATATTTAATATGAAATGATTGAGAGTTGGTTATTTTAAGTATAGGTGTCAAATATAATAATATATTGATTAACGAAACACATCCCGACCAAGGGGGTGGGCATAAATAAGGAACATTCATTTTATATATTTTTACGTATCTGATTTATTATTATTAGTTAACCATTCATAACTATAAATTTTTATGTGAATTTACTCTTTAGTTACTTCCTCCTAACTAATTTATTTTTTATTGAGATTCCCACTTTTCTCATGTATCCTATTAAAGTCGTCATAACCGACACAAACCAACCGTATCATCGATCGTATCATTCCACTTGTCCAACCGACGGTATCTAACTTTGATTAAACTACAACACCATCTAGTCCTCAAAAAAGCATCATAATCTAATGGGCCGTTTTGTACAACTTCGGTTACTGAATATGCTTATTGGTATCGTTATGCACGTCATTGATTCACAATGAAGTTTAGAGGCTCATCTAACGATAGTAAAAAGTTAAGTGGCCAAACTGATATTTTGGCCAAAATGAAAGAGGCGCTTAAGCCCTAACCGCCCTAAATCTTGACAGAGAAGGATCCAGAAGAAATCATTTTCTATTCCACACTCACACTTCCAGTCTCGCCGGGGAACTAAAGAAAGCAGCGGCGAAGTACTAATTCCGATGGACGGCGGAGCCAGCGCTGCGGCGAGCGACACGGAGACGTCGGATGCGCAGCTCCCGTCTCCGACCATGCCTATCGGCGAGGGCGCATACGGAGTCTTCCGGTAATAGTCTAATCTTCGCATTTCTTTCTGATTCGGCGCTATTCTTTCGTTTACGAGAATTTTGATGGAATTCGGCGCTGTTTTACTCTTCAGCTCCGCCAGTGCTTCTGCGAAGAAGACGCTCCAGGAGGTCAAACTGCTTGGTCACATCAATCAGGAGATGTCGGATGTGCAGGTCCCGCCACCGGTAGGAATCGGTAACCTCCCGGCGACGCGCAGCCATGGCGGCCAGGTTCTCTCGCATAACATCATAGGCAACATTTTCAATGTTACCGCCAAGTTCAAGCCTCCGACCATGCCTATCGGCGAGGGCGCATACGAAATCTACCGGTAATAGTATAATTTTCGCGTTTATTTCTTATTAGGCGCTATTCTTACGTTTCCGAAGAATTTTGATGGAATAGGTTTGTTGTGTGGCGGATTTTTACTCTTTAGCTCGGCGGGTTCTTTGGCCAAGAAGACGCTTCAGGAGGTCAAACTGCTTGGTCACACTAACCAGAACAGAAATGTAGGTTTCGTTCTTGCTCTGCTCTTCCTTTTTTCTTTCTGCTGCCCTAGAGGATATCAAACTGATTGGTAACACGATCCAGGACAGAATTGTATGTTTCATTTATGCTAATCTTGCTCTGGTTTCTAGCTTTTCTCACATAGGGTACAGGTAGCATCCAAATCTGGTTTCCATTTCTGAATTCTATCTGTTTGAGCCTGGGAACCTCCTTCGTACGCCTTGCTTCCTT